TTTTTAAAATTCTCAGTAACAATGATTTTAATGGATAATGGATAAATTATTGTTCCATGTTCTATTCCTTTTTCTCTTTCATTTATTTTCCATTCTTATTATGTGTATTCTTTAATTCATTTTTCGTTCAATTTTTTGAATATTATGTTTTCCTTCTGCACAGAACTACAAAGCATCGCATTTTAAAGGTAAAATAAATATGAGTTACTTCAAAGCTATAGACAGTAATGCTTGGTTTTTTGAAGTACTCACCTTTAATAACAGTACAGTCAGTCTGACCTATAACCGGTAAGGAATTGAGCCTCGTAAATAACAAGAGTCCATAGAGTAGACATATGATCTGAGAAAAGTGAAAGTAGAAGTTGAATGTAATTCAACGAATTCAACACAGTACAGAGACATTGTTAAAGTTGTATCTTTAGACTTTCAGAATGCTTGCCTGTCTGATAAACTTCCTTCCATTCAATATATCATTAAAGTTTTCTCGTCTTTTATTCAGACGTTATGGAAAAGTTCGCAGGCATGTACATGAACAGATGGTCTGACATTAGACAACACAAAATGTCTTATAATGCCTTCGTGTCAAGTGAGCTAAAATCATGGATACTTCAGGCCGTAATTTTAAAGGGAGAATGAGAATAATATTAGCGAAAAATAAAAAAACGATAAGTTATAATTCCATTCTTTAAGGGGGTGAAGACATTTGGAGACATTTGCAGAAATATTCTTCCTTTTAGGATTTTCTAAAATTAAAATTTTTGTTGTGAAGAATCAATCAATTACAGTTTTTACTATAGTAAACCAGTTTACAGTTTTCTTTTAATGAATCAAAGTACCAATTATAAATGCAATACTCTTAAACATGCATTTCCTTTATTCAAATTATTGAATGCGATTCTTTCATCCAAAAAGATAATCTGATTCTTTTAAGGCAGCATTTTTTCTTCTTTTCTTTTTTTAAAAAAAGCCTACCTGAAAGGAATACATCTTCTATTTGACATTTAGATATATCGACGAACCTTTTCCAAATAAAAATAGTTAATTTCATTTATATGTCGATTCGATATATCCCAGTGAACTTGAAATAAAGAAGCCATAAAGTCTGTCACATGTGTTTTATTTTTCGATGTTTACTTATTATAGACGTTAATAGAAAACTTACAACTAAAATATATAACAGACGGGATGACTTAAGCTTTTCTATCGCCATCTTTCCCAATTTATGCACTAATATTCACCAATGACTTGCATATGGTTCATGTCTCCTAAGTGCTTTGATTCTCAATAGCTTATTCTGTGTACGATCATTTTTTTTTAAAACCGAGGCATGGTACTGACAAATAAGTTGATCTTGACGGCCTTGTATGATCTCCTTTAAAGTCAATATTCTGTATATCTAATGGTCGATAAAATGACCTTGTTTGTAAACACAAGCTTACATTGAGTCGTATTTTGAATGACGTTTCATACCAATCCTTAGACCATTGTTGTTATTGTTTTTTTTCCATTTTAGAATTCGACTACAGATAACTCAATTTACAGAGAATAACGGCGGATGTGACGGTTAACAGGGGATGCTTAGTTTGCTTAATCCCCTTGAGCGCTTAATTATTTCTTTGAACTTAATTTCCAGGGGTCAGTTTTTTAGCCCTGTTCATATTTTTATGAAAAAAAAAAGATTTATGAAATTAATCATAGCTGATCATACTTAGTAAACTACAGCTTTTTCATTGTGTATTTTAACAATATTATCGACGTTATCTTCATTAATGTAGATTCGAGAAATTTTAATGGCCTTGCTTTTCAAAATTAAATTTTTAAAATTTTAAAGAATAAAAGTAAAACAAAATGTCGTAGTCAAGTATAGAAGATTTATCAACGTAAAATATCAAAGTATCATAAAATTCAAAAAAATCATTGGATGCACCATAGTTATCTTTAGTTCAACTTCTAAACTGTCAATCATTGTATTACTAGAATTTTATGGTTGGAAAAGCAACGAAAAGTAAAAATCTGTTTTCCTTAACTAAAGCTTTGAATATACACTGTATCGTATTTAGCTAAATCATTCTATGAGATTATTTTAGAAAGATGCTATACAAACAAATGTTCTTACCTTCATAATTTAATGTAATGAAAAGATTTTGACAGAGTTTATCGAGGATTGACCTCTCAAAGGTTTGAAATGTGACAAATGAATCCCACAGACGTTTGTAAAATTCTGGTAAATACTCTCAACCCAATTAGGCGTTTAAGTCCATTTCGTTCTATTTTGTACATGAAATTTCCCTTGTTTTGGGAATGTTTCAGAGAGAGAGAGAGAGAGAGAGATACAAATCTGAACCTTGAACATTTTATGGTACAACAGCCACTTGTTTAAAATTTACTTATTTTTGCTAAATGTATCTGTAATTGTAATTTTTCTCATTTTAAAAGCTTATCAGAATTACACTCTAATTAATACCCAATGACCTAGTATATTACAGTTATTGCCTGTCTAAAATGAGATGTTGTCGATATCACTTTTAATGTAACTTTCATATGTTTGCAACAAAACTGGAATGGAATGGACTGACAATTAAAACGTCTGTAAATATAAAATTGAACAAAGAAGTCAATAGATATTTTCAAGTGAGCTTGAAATAAAAGATACCACAGAGTCTGACACATCTAATTCATATTTGGATATTTTACTAGAAAAAGACTTTAATGGCAAACTAACAGCAAAGCTTTATGATAAACGTGATGGCTTCAATTTTTCAATCAACTACATCCCTTGCTTATGTTGCAATATACCCTTATCACCAGCATATGAGGATTATGTCTCTTAGTTGTATTCAATACGCAAGAACATGCTCTATATACGAACAATTTCTGAAACGAGGCAAGCTATTGACAAACAAGTTGATGAAACAAGAATATCAATTGCCTCGTTTAAAGTCATCATTTTGTAAGTTCTATGGTCGATACAATGACCTTGTGAGCAAATACAATCTATCATTAAGTCATATGCTGACTAACTTTTTTCATACTAATTGTTAGGCCATTATTCACACACTGAATTGTCGACGGATTTTTCCGTTATTACCGATCATAATAAGGAGCACACGGCAGATGTGACCGGTCGGCAGGGAATGCTCACTCCTCCATGGCACCTGATCTCACCTTTCATCTTTTGGAGGTCCGTGTTTGCTATGCTCCAGATTTGTATTGTTTTAATGAACTTTGAGCTTGAATACTGTTCGTTATCTCCATATTTCATGGAAACAATTAATTCTACATGGAGAGTACTACTAATCTGAACATTTTCTTAAGAATATGTGGTCATATTTTCCCATTTTGTTCATCGCACTATTGGACTTATGCGAGAAGGACTGACTTTTACAGTCGACGGCTTACTTTAACATTTAAACCTGCATTATGTACAGAGGTATGGAATTGATAATAGACACTAAAACCTTAATAGTGGTTTTAGGTATGGTGTTAGGGGCGCTAACATTATTTATCAATACACGAGATGATTGGAGGCAGAAAAACATAACTTAAAATACCTTAATAGTGATGGTAGTATCTCCTTTCAGTCTTATTTTCTGAAGTAATCAAACAAAGGAGAAAAACATTCCGCAAAGAGTACATAGCAGGAGCTGGACAAGGTAGGTAGGGAGAGGGTTTTGAGTAGAGTGGTTGCCGTTCTCTTCCTAGACAACGTAATATGTGCTTTTCAATGGCCCATTAATATTGTCTAATTAACTGTTAAGCTAAATATTTATATCACAAAAGAGCTTCCGTATATTGTCCTAGTGTAAAAGTAAGCCGTAGATTTTAAAAGTCAGCACTTCTCACAAAAGTCCATTAAAATATAGGATATATACATGCCTAACCTAGGATTCGGAATCAAGTTAAGAAACATTAGCTTTATCACAATATCTCATACTCTAAGCTTTCTTCACTGATATAGGGCATTTGATTTCCACGACGTTTATATCCTAAGGTGGTCAGACCGACTCACAGAATCAGACAAACTCTGGTGAATGCAAAATTCCCCTCTCTTCATCGGATGTCAAAAGTATTCCCTGGTTAAAACACACATAATTCTTTACACTTAACATTTTTATTCTTGTTGTTTATGAGAATCCAATTTGAAGAAAAAAAATCTCTTCAATGACTCGTCACAATGATATTTTTATTCCTTGTTATTATATACACGTAATACATTAGAACATATCAAAAAGGAATAATAATTACAAACTCTAAGTTTATCTTTGCTTTATATTTTACGATAAAGCTGTCAAGTACGTTAGTTTTTTTATATTTCTTAGAATAGAGTTTAAAATTCTTTCTTAAGAATGATTTCAGTTGAATATTGGTTATTTGCTAAAATACATATTTCGGAATTCTTTACCATAGGTATTCAAACAAAAATCTTTATCTGGCCTCAGTTAGTGCCTTATCAAGGTACAATCTTCTATATCTTAAAACATATTATTTTTAGTTATGTTTTAATTTTCTGCGTATTCTCACAAATGAAGGGAAAATTTCTTTTGACAACGAAGTATTGGAACGTCCAAAGTCACCGAATACTTAAAACAAAATTGTTGTGCATAATGCAAAATTTCGATTAAAGATTATTCTCATACCATTACAATGAAATAAAAAGACGATAACAATTGACATGAACACTTTGTCTCATGAGCAGTTTCTGAGTAGTTCTTAGATACCGGATTTATCTCATTCATAACTTTGATTTACATGTAACGACGTGTACAGAAAGTCTGTGTGATCATACCTTTGTATTTCAGGTATATTCATTTAAGCTGTACAATAACACACATAAGGTGTGGAAGACACTGTACTAGTTACACGATTCATTAACATAATTAATGTAATTAACCTATAGTAGGAAGTACAGATAAACCACCGAACAAACTTTACCCTCGATCACTGAACATTCAGTAAAGTCAGGTTTTGTGATCAATTTTCGATTCCTCATTAATCTACACCTTTGAAGTTTTTTAAGACTCGGCTTTAAAACGGATTTTGTGATCCTTTGTCGTCCTCTGTAGAATATTCCAGGATGAGGAACTCCGGTGCCTTTGTAAGTATATTGAAGTATATGTTATCTTTGTGAAATTAAATTGCATATTCAATTTTAAAATGCCGATCAAGGCTTCTTGACTATAATATAGATTGATTATTATGCTCTAGGTTTTGCTTTCTGTACTTTTAAAACTATCTTGAAAAAAAAACTTCATAAACATATATATTAACTTGTATCTATGTTCTACTTCATGCTATTCATTTTAAACATCAGATCTATATTTCAGGTACTGTTATTTATTTTAACCCTTGTACATGGAACTTCTTCATTTCTGTTCCAAAAGACAGCGGCATGCCAGCCTGTAGGAAGTAGGTCATTACTTACTCTAAATATAGTAATATAATATATGAATGTATAGTTATCTATACGAATATATATATATATGCTATCTATACAAGTACTTATCAGCACTAAAATGTAGTATTCTTATAGTAAAATTGTTCTTCATTATAGACCCATTTTGAAAAGAATACAGTAGTAATATATAACTCAATTATCCTGTGGAATTCTGTAAATTGATTAAAATAAATTCATTTTTGCAGTAAACGAAGAGAAAAAAAATGTTCAAAAGAAATTTTGCCAGACTTTTATCTAATGATTTATTACCCTTTGAGTGTTTGAAAATTTAAGATAATACTTATTCATGAAATCTTTGTTCACCAACAAAAAAGTCCAATGCATGATATCATGACGAAAATTAAATGAGTGAGAATTTTCTTGAAAATAAAAGCTTTATTTTTTCTTTTGTTTGAATCAATTTTAATCCTTCATCATGTACATAAACAAGTTATGATATTAAGATAAATCTTTTTTTTTCATCTTTTCTTACATATTTATAGGAATGTGGAGAATTTGTTATCATTATAACCCTAATTTTTGTGGTTAGCATCTACTGAATAAGTTTATTTTTTCAGTAACTTTTTATCTTTCAATGATAAGAAAGAAAGAGCTTCCACAACAAAGTTTCAAAAGTTCATATATAGCGAGATGGATTTTTGTGTGTTACACTAGTTTAGAAAAATGGTTATGTCGAATATTGACTGACGTTTTTCACACAAATTGTTCAATAATGAAATATGGAGATAACGAACAATTTTCAAGCTCATAGTCCATTTAAACAATACGAATGGGAAGCAGAGCAAACACAAACCTCCAAAAACATCAGAGGTGGGATCAAGTGCCATGGAGGAGTAAGCATCGCCTGTCGACCGGTTACGCTCGCCATGTACTCCTTGTCATAGGAAAAATCCGTAAAAATTTCAGTGTGTAAATAATAGACTAACAATTAGTATGAAAAAAGTCAGTCAGCATTTGACCTAATGATAGATTGTATTTGCTAATACGATTAGTGTATCGAACATAGAACTTGTGAAATAATGATTTCAAAATTGTTTTCACACTGAATTGTTTACGGAGTTTTCTGTTTACCTGATCATACAAGGTACACACGGCACATGTGACAGATTGACAGAACTATTCGCAGTACATTTTTGTACGGTGAATACATAGAGATAATTGAAAAATACTACATTGATTTCGTAAACAGAAGACGAAGACAAATGATCTTTTTATGCTATACATTTTTAACTATCCTTACTAACTAATGGCCTAACAATTTGTATGAAAAATGTCAGTAAATATCAAACTTAACGACAGATTGTATTTGCTAACAAGGTCATTGTATCGATCGACTAAAGAATTTGCAAAATGTTGACTTTAAACGGGACTGTTGATGTCCTTATACATGTATCATCAATCAACTTATTAATAGTTAATAGCTTGCCTGGTTTTAGAAATTGTTCGTAGGTGAAGCATGCTCTTTCGAATCAACACATAAACTCCATATGCAGGTGATAATGGTTTATTGCTACATAAATAAGGAAGCTGACGATAGAAAAGTTGAAGTCATCACGTTCATCATAAAGTTTTGTTGTTAGGTTGTCATTAACGTCTTTTTCTAGTAAAATATCCAAGTATGAAACAGGTGTGTCAGACTCAGTGGAGTCTTTTATTTTGAGTTCAAAGGTTCAAAGGTATCTATCGAATCAACGTAGGAATGAAAATGAATATTGTTAATTAATAAAATGTCTTATATATCTAATTGTCGAATGGAAGTCCACAGCAAGAGACATCTTTTCATGTAGAAGTTTTTGAATAAACTCTGCTTCATATGAATACAAAAACAGGTCTGCTTATAATAGAGCGCTAATACTAAGAATTTGAATGGTTACCAAAACACCAGGAGTTAAATAAAACTTTACTGTTATGCTATATTCGTGAGGGTAATTACCGTTTAATGTATGATGTACAAAGATAGATGTACAAAGATAGATTTGCCTTTATTCGATAAAATGAAGCACATCTCATTAAAAGTGATTTGTTTTTCATTGTTCATTAACCACAATGTAAATAATAGTTTTTAACTTTCAAAATATTTGGCATATCTCCTTTCCTTCTTACAAATGAGGACCAGTTGTATTTATTTTACACATTTTATGTACAGTAGATAATTGAAGCATTTCTAAGGTAATTGTGAGCTAGCAATCAACTATTTTTTGCGAATTTATTTTGGAAGTTACATATGATGATAAGTGTGAATGAGCAGACGTCCTCGCATTAAAAAGTTAATAAAAAGTGAATTATAATAGTCTGTTTTGTTAAATTCTTATTGATCTTAAATAATTTTCAAAAACATTATGAAGTATTCATTAACTTGCTTTAGTATTGAATGAGCTAATTCAAAAACAAGAAAACAACATTTTTTCTAACATGTCTATCAGATGAGTAGGTCAATTAAGTAATAAACAATTATCACTTCAGTTCCTTTATTCCTTGCATCATTACAAACATCAGATTTACATATAATGTTAAATAGAATATAAATACAATACCATACACATAGCCCACACAGAAGAAAATATACTTATATCAGGAAAATTGAGCTTAAAGATAAAATTGCAAATAAAAACATATTTGAGTAATGAGTGTATATCTTGACATAACTTTCCTAATACACTAGTAAGTTATTTAATATTCCAATGTATTATACTTTACGTTTTATACTATTAGGCTTACACAATTCTCTAAGAAATTTCCAAGACCCCTAATTCTTTAATTTCCAACACTAAATAACTGGATAATTCATAAATACTAATATTTTTATGATAGTACTTTTTATTAGTCCCCTACCGGTGAAACCGGGGGGGACTATAGGTTTCCTCTGAGTCTGTCCGTCCGTCTGTCCGTCCGTCTGTCTGTCTGTCTGTCCGTCTGTCTGTCTGTCTGTCCCTCTGTCTGTCTGTCAGTCTGTCCCACTTGGTTTTCCGCACTTTTTTCCTAAACGCTTGCAGATATTGAGCTGATTTTTGGTATGTGAGTGTATCTTGATGAGTTACAGATCAAGTTTGCATTTCGTTCCGCTTCATTGATTTTTGACGGAATTACGTCCTTTTCAATTTTTACGGGTTTTCCGCAATTTTCTTCTAAACGCTTGTAGATATTGAGCTGATTTTTGGTATGTGGCTTTACCTTGATTAGTTATAGATCAAGTTTGCATTTCCTCCCGCTTCATTAATTTTTGACGGAATTATGGCATTTTCAATTCTTAACTGGAACCAGATTACACTTGCCGGTAGGGGACTAGTATTGCTAATGCAATACTCTCAGAATGCTTGTTTATTGCTACCTTGAATTATGGTATATTGGACACTGCAAAACAAGCGAATCGTCTTCAATTTCATTCATACATTATACTGTGCATTTTCTATGTAATTTTTATTCGCGTTTAGGTATTTAACCCTTTCAATAAATATTATGACACGATAACGTAAATTTATATTAAGATTTTTTGAGATATTATTGAAGACAATGAATATCAATAATGTGCTTATATGAATTAACTTTAGGCATAACAATTATCGCTCGTTGGATATATACAGTTTGTCGGATTCTAAGTTTTAAATTAACATATTCTCCACCAGTATGGAATCTTCAATGTACGATAATCCTGTTACTACAAATTAAAACCGAAGAAATCATTTAAAAAAATGGGAAAAAAACTCATAACAAATGACAAATATTTAATAAAAACAAATAAACTCTCAAACTTGTGAGATTTTTACATACCTAAATGTTTTAAGTCCGATTTCTTAGTCACTGAACAGTGGTGTTTTCATGATTAAACCTTAAGTCAAAATCGAGAGATAAAACATTGTAGAAAACCGCATTGTTATTTTTCTAGTATTAATCATCACTAAGTCTTAATAATCCAAAAACTCGCTTTCTGGTTTTTTAATAAAACAAATGAAATCTCTGTCATTATCTTATTTTCCTAATATTTTTCAGAACCATTCTACTTTGGAACGACAAACATTTGGTGCATGTCCTTATTTCCCAGGCGTGTGTCCCGATCCCCAAGGCGTAACCCATTTGGTATTTCCCATCGCTGGATTTGGTACGATGGTCATTTTCTAGAATTTGGAACCCGACCACATTCTAGTGTAAATATCAGAACAACACACCCAATGGTAGGAGATTTCTGTCCAACAAAAAGGGAGAGAAAACCAGCTGGCTACAGTGTATTACCGGTCGAATGTATAGTCGGATGCGCACTCAACTATGAGAGAATGTACGGAAAATTTAGCAAAACGAAGAACAATTGTCATATGTTTACAAACAGAATGGCTGAAATTCTCTGTCACTACACGGTCTGTCCTCATTGGTGTTTAGGATAAAATTGCTACTGAATAAAAAGTTGAATAAAACTGGAAACTGATTTTTTTTAATTTATCAATCGAAAAAATTATTTTACATCACAGTGTCCCGAATTTTCTCTAAGTAACAGTTCACATTTTCAATTGTTCTTGATATATTTTTGGAATATCTTAAATGTCATTCAAAAGGGAAAAATGAGATTTTATTAGTTCCTTTTAACGTAACTTGCGTCCAAAATACTACAGATTGCATATTCAGATAGATTTCTCAAAAAGAAAAATAAAGTGTCAACGAAGGTCACAGAGTAAAGTATAGAACAAGAGAAATAGACAAGAACGATAACTGTACACAAGGCTGCAACCACGTTCCGCTTCCCTCATATCCGATACCAGCATCTATATAATAAAAAGAAGAAATTTCTTTCCCTGAAGACGAATAAGCATGAATAATTTGTCTTTTGTTGATAATTTGTTTGTATGTTTGACTATCTGATGTCGAAATTCGATGACAAAAGCAACTTTATTTCTTTTTTTGTAGATTTTTGCAAGAGAGTTTTTTTCCAAACATTTTTTTTCTTTACTCGATATTATATTGGAGAAACAAATGCAATCCTTTCGTGTTTAAGAAGGAGAATTTGGTTAAAAAACTTTTAAAGTGTAATAGGAGACTAAATAATTAATTTCTCTCTTCAAAGAAAACTACAAATTTTTCGTTTTGACAAACTCTCAATTGATTTAAACAAGCTTATATCTAAAAGATGTTTACAAACGAGAGAACTGAATCCAAGCCAAAAATAAGAAATCTAGCATACAAGTGATTCTTATTTGTGACTTATATAATGATGACAATATATGTATAAATGTGTTTTATCAATTTTAAAATTACTCAAAAATATTGGTGATAGGAACAATTTAGTGTTATAAAAATCATGGAAATAATTGTCAACCAAATAATCTTATTCATTTTTCTATTTAACATTTTTGGTTTGATTTTGATGTACCCAAGCTGTTTCAGAGTTTAAGCTTGATAAAAATAACATTTCATATTTTTATAAAAGCAACATGTGATTGATGAAACGTAAAATTTTTTTCTTCATAATGTACAAGCATAAAACCCCCCTTTATAATGGGGAGTTTCCCCAATAAGAAAGAAAAATACAATTAATATTTTTAAATAATATGCAATCATCAAGACGTCCTAGATATTTCTTATGAAAAAAGAAAAAACTGTAAGTATCAAAGAAAAACGTGATAAAAAGGTGTTTTTTATAATGCGTATGAAGGCTGGTGAACATAACTTGGTATGATTTCCAGGTTGTTGGATCGCAGCTAATCACAGAGCTAGGATAATTTTAAAAAAAACTTTGTAAAGACTTACAGGGACACACTTGACACATGGTGGGGCAGTCCTCGGGTACATTAGAGTACGTTTCACAGGACTGACGGGTAAATTGTCTGCCACATTGCGGTGGGTCCCTCTGGCCGGTACAGTTTACTGAACAAAAAAAAAGTCATTTCAAATCTTGTTAATTACACAGATATATTAAACATTGTTTATCGTGCTGTTTGGATTCTTAACAATATTAAAGCAAGAAAAAAGCATAACAGTAGCCTATTTAGACATAAACATCAAAAATTGCTACTCAGCATCACCATTGACAAAATTTTGTTTCCAATACCAATTTTTAAACTTGAGAATTTTTCCCTTTCAAGGAATAAGAAAGTTTTTCCTCTGTCAACTTTTTATCTTTATCATTAAACGGTTCATTAAAATAAAGATTGAGATGATATAATGCCAATACTCACATTGACATGTTGGACCTATGTAGGTTGTACGCGGAGGTTTGCATGTACAGGTACAGGTGTTGAAGTCCATCGTACCTCCATTTTCACATACCTTTCCTTGACAGTCTAAAATACACCAAAACTAATGTCAAAATTCCTTATAAGGGAAAATATTCAATGATTTCTCCCTAATAAAAAGTCTATAATGTAGCTTAAACACAATAATCAAGAATAATCTTGTACAATATTGATTGCTCTATACAAACGACAAATTTCAATCGACATTGAATATGTTGAAACTTATTTTCAGACTTCCAGAACTTGGACTATACATAAGGTGCAATCTAGCAGCAAACGTGATCTTAAATAAAGGATATATCGTATTGCATACATTCAGAATTGAAAGAAGATTTTACAGAAACAAATGCATGACGTTTTGAGTTTTAACGAATAATGGATGGGGGAGGGGGTTGAGCAAAACCGTTGATTTAACAACTTAAGTAACCTCAGTCGTTGATATACAACCTTTGGTTATGATAAGAGGCAACAAATGCAGTCAACGTGTGATATATTTATACATTCTCATCGGTATTTTCGAGCAATTGGCCAGAAAAAATTATTAGTTCATGGGCTACATTTTCTTTTTCATATAATACACATGCCCATTTAACAAGGTCGAAGCATACCACTTTGTAAGTACAAATTACATGCAAGTGTAGATACTTTGTTTTAAAGTCTTTTAACATAGCATAAGATATCATTACCAAAACTCCTTTCTTTTTTATTATAGACAAACTTCAACATTATGTGCAAAGAGAGTATATTTCATCAATTTCGATGAAAGGAATATTAGGAGGAAATAAGATTTTCCGCCACACAAACTGTCAACGAACTAAGTTACTGATAGTAAAAATCTTACCACACAATTTATTCTTGCAGCTTCCTTGACAATCGCTGCATGCAGTTCCAGATTCATAGGGGTTGTTTAAATCCTTGTTTCCACTGTAAAAATTTGTATTTCGTTGAGATAACCAATATTGATTTTAATGAAATAAGACAAACTTGTTTGTTTCTGAATAGTGTTGCATTATAATTTTTGCTTAGATTTGACGAAGATTAACGTTTCCATCTGTGTTCTACTCCGTGTACATGTACACATGTATGTTTCCAAGTGCCCGCAATTAACAACTTGTTGGATAATGTATCAAAACTTTCTTAGTGTATATCTGATCGTATCAATTTATTAAAAAAAACGATACGTAGTAGTTCAGTTAATATCTAGAATTATTTCCCTCTGTAGAATGGATAATGTCGGCAAAAATATACACTGTAGGTGTGCTTTTTTTTTCTCGATGTAGCTTGTTTGTGCAATATTAATACTGATTGTAACACACGACATATACATGTATACATGTATTTAAAAATACCATACCTATCGCTTTTCTTGAACTTTCAGGTTTTGAAATATATAAATTATACTAATTATATTCCATATTTGCTAGGTAAGCCTTTTCCTCATTGAATCGAACAACAAAACTCCAATATAAACACGCATATGACAAATATGTTCGAATGCATACCTTGGTCCATAATTACAAACAAAGCTTCTCATTGAACCACAGACAGCAAAACCACAACCAATCCTTGTAGACGTAGCCGACACAATCTGGGAAGGAATTGCACTTCAATTATAAGTAGCTAAACAATAAATATATCCCTGAAAGAGTACCTTTTGTTTAAAACAGTTTATATAATATTTCAACGTAAAATTGATAAAAACTTTCAATTTATTTGATGTTGAAAGAGACTGGATAGTCAACAAAGTATCCCAAAGATTCACCTAAAAAAAATAACAAATTATGATAAGCTATATGCCGTATATATGTTTTTTATTATTTAGAAATAACCACATGTTCTAGCTATAATGTTTTAATGCAATTCCCAATATATTTTATAGAGCTCTTCTTTACCAGGATATATAAATAATCTAAAAATGGCTTTGACCATCGAGCTAATACATGTAATCGATATCGAATGACCATCACTAATATGCTTCCTGTGAATGACTCATGTTTTGTGTTTGTGATGCTTATCATACGAATTATTTTTGGGTCGAATTAATAAGTACCTGAAAAGGGTTTGTTTACTATTTCCGCCCAGGCAGTATAACATTTTGCAAGCATTGTAATGTGAAGTTTGGCCTACTACAGTGTAAGTTCTGACTTTGTTTATATATTTTTGCATTAAATCTAGTCTGTTGTGAATGTTTATTAGCATCAGGTAAATGCACATATTGTTTACTTGTAAAATTGAGATAAATGGAACATGCTGGAATTCACCTAATTTCATGTACGTTGTATGCAGATATTTTGGTCACATGGTAACTTTGATAAAGCGAATCTCTTGTGAATGTCGGATCATATCATTGTATTCGAACTTTTTACGGCTGTTTCATACGTGCACAATATTTTTTATCAGTATTATAAATACAACTGAACTGTGTAAATGACATTGTTTATTCAGATTCTTTGTCAAAATTCTTATGATTGTTTTTCTTTAATTTGTAGCTTTTTACCACACAAACACTAACACAAATTCAATACAGTTTACGAATCCATGTGTGTAGTTCATTGTTTTATGGTTAACTGGCTGTGACGTCTACGACTATACCAGCACAGTGTTAATTGATACATCTTCTATTATATCAATCCAACAACGGTGTACTGCTTATGCTTACCGGTACACTTTATTTGGGTTCAATGTTCAGCTAAAGTTGTAAGTCGGGTTTCCCCTTGGGGGAGGGGTCTTCAAACAGAATTTTAGCTAACATAACCTCATACCCTTTTCCTATAAGAGTTGATCTTTGATGTGTTTAAACATAAAATTTCAAAAGAATCGACTAAAACCTAAAAGTAATTATTACATGTAAGCAAATTTTCGACATCGAAATGTACAGGTAGATGCGGACGCTATCACTTTAAGCACATGTTCATACATATTAACAAATTTAAAGCAGTGAACATGAGACTATAGAAAATTAATATCAGATTTGTAAAGAGAATTAAAAAAAAACGCTCGTGCATAGAAACTTTCATGTTTGATATTTTTTGAGTGTTTTGTGAAAAACGAAAGGTAAGAACAACAATTTTATAATCACATATGCAAAATAATAAATAATATCTGATCACCTGTGTATAGTGACCGACTTTAGAGGGATCATTTCTCCCTCCCAGTGTAAAGTCTGCTTCCTCATCATGCCAAAGTGTCACTATTTCTTCCCAGTTCATGTCTTCTGAAGTGCTTCCCAAATTTTGTCCAACAGAAAAACGACCTGTTAAAAAATTATATATTACTATATATTATAAAAAGAACTATTATGTAGATGATGAATAATATTTTGCCGCATAAACCATTCTCTTTCATATAATAAGAGTTCCATTCACGTTCCTTAGATGAAATACCACATTTACTTTTGAGTGACATTGATGACAGTAGTCAAGTTTACTTCAGTAAGTATTCAATTAATTTTTTTTAGCTTTTCAAATTTGCGTCATGTTTGTTTAAATGTTTGTTTAAAGCCTTGAAAACTTAAAGTTCGTGTTCGATCTACATGTATTTACCAGGAATGCTGCGTTGTCTTTTACCGTCGTGTACGAGTCCTTTACATGCGTCAGCATACCTCTGGGCGATTATTGCTATCTGATCGTCCCAGTACTGGAAATATATGGATTACATGCTGATAAGATAATTCACAATTTTTCCTAACTCACAGAAAAAATTACAATATATAATTTTTTAAACTTAGTCTAATTTTTAAGTTAAATCATGTATATGTATGGAGTAAATGAAACAACACTAGATTATTGATATTACATAAATTATTAACGTACAAGTCTAAAAAGTTGTGGATTTCTTCCATACTAGTGTATACTACTGGGTCACTAACCATTTTAGCCATGGCGACTGCTGCCGGTTGCACATCCGCTCTGAATTCATTATGTTTATTAACAATGATTCTCTTATTTTCTTCTGAAATACCTACAAGGAAAAAAAGGCAGTGTTTCAGTGACCACTGTTCTGTGTTCATAAAATGAAGCGTAACTCAAAAATAAGTCACAAAACTTCATTTATATTGAATGACGTCATGCTTTTGTGAGTTTCGATGCTTTATCTCTATAAGGTTTGTGATTCGTAGTTTTAGGAACTAAAACAATGTTTTCTGAAAATTATCACAGATTTAACTTCTTACTGAAACGCTTTCTTTTCATTGGCAACAATGCTTTATATTTATTGCATGTTTAATATGAGTTTTGTAGACACTAACAGCGAATGACTTCATGGACCAAGTAAAATTGTATTCTGTTACGCTGACACCAAAGATTACATGTACAATAATATTGTTTAGATATTTATATCCACATATTTAGCATAAAAATACTAGAAATAGCAAGTAAAGTTAACCTCCGCAATGCTTTCTTTCAACTTTCTTTGTAAAAGAACAACAGTCACCAAAATAGCCAAGCCAATAGTTTCATTCATCGTGTAAATATACACAAGCCTAAAGTACCAGTGACTCCATACCCGAGTCTTTAGCCATTGGGAATCTCATTAGACAGACAGAATGGTTAGGAATGAAATACCTAACCTAACACCTAACCTGAGTCTCTAGCCATTGGTGACCTCTGTAGACAAGCAGAATGGTTAGGAATAACTTGATACTTCTTTGCACAATTGTTCTACAACGAAAAAATAAAAGACAAATGCAATTATCAAGCTATTATGTCAATATTTCATTTTTTTTTCAAAAAAAAAATTATAAAGATATTTTCTTCATAATCATTAGACATCTTCAAAATATATATACCCAATTACTTATTCAAACAGACGAGGGGTTTTCTTCTCAGGGAAGTATTCAATTTAGTTTTTTGATAGCAGGGATTAGAACAGAGGACTACGATAATTATGGTTGCTTTTTGTGAGAGCAGAGATGCGTATAAAAATTTGAAGAGTATTGTTTTTTATGAGAGCAGGGATAAGAATAAAAGGCTACTAGAGTATTGCTTTTTGTGAGACCAGAGATAGAAGAGTATTGGTTTTTAGAGAGCGGAGACTGGAGAATAGGATAAGATGAGGTTTGATTTTTGGAAGAGCAGGAAGTAGAGCGGAAGGGCGAATTCCTTAATCTTATCTCACCATCGTCCCAAATGATGTCTACTGAAGAATCTTTGATCCTGACAGGACTTTCCTGTCAGTACTCATTTGATTAAAAAAAAACGACCAACGACAAGCTGAGAATGTAAACACTAACATCATCACGTGATACACCCATCAGGCATGATTTACGCCAACTTTTTTATCTTCTGGATATATTGAATCCAATGTATAAGCTAGGGAAGCAAACGAATTGACTAACTGGCTAATAAACAGAAAACATTAATTACTTCACTGTGCTTTATGAATCTAGTCAGGACGGCCAAAAGAACATGGCTGAGGATGAGGACTGTACTGCAAAACCGACTACTGGATAACCTTCACATTTTTCGATCGACGTAGATATCATAAGTGTTCCGTTAAGAAATGTATTTGAATTCGTTGGATCAACAATAAGAGCCACCTCTATTTATTGGGGGTAATCTATATAAATTGCCCCTGGATCCTGCAGTAGTATGAAAAAAAGTCACGAGTGTAAGTTCATCATAAGTCTAAATACCCTTGAGAAAAATCGGTGCAGAGTACATTCCTGTTACTTTTTGTGGCCTGTATGTTTTGGAACACTACAAAGCTCCAGAGCACAGAACTCGCACATTTCAAGAAACTCAAACCCAAAAACCAAGAAATTTCCTACTCAGAGTCCTGCCGTGAACATTGTAACGAACATTTGGCAGCAGTTGGCAATATTTCAACAACGAGTTACTAATGTCAGCAACACACATCAACTTGAGCACGGTACGTTTTAAAGACATTAGGACCTATACATGTATCAGACATTCCTTCAGTTACTTCCAAAACCGATAAAAGTCAATAATCATTTTAAAGAATTAAGATAGGTGTGAAAAATATTTTTGAATTTTTATTTTCCAAAGGTGAAGTAGACAATTCTCTCTTTGAGGTGTCCATTTTTATTTTTGTACGGACGAGTGAAAATATGTCCTTGAGAGGAAAGCAGTATTTCAATCAGGGGAAAAATGCAAATTATTCCATGGACACTTTAAACATGTAAAAGTAGGCCATAGTGGACAGAAGATGCCTAAATGCAAACAACTGAAAAATACGTACCCATAGGCGGTCGTCGGCACTCGCAAAGAATAAAGAACCTAAAATAGGAAAATAGATGTTTTAGTTGGATATCCGAAAATGTAATTTCCAATTTTCATTTCTAACCAATGTCTTGCAAATGGATGAAAAAGAAAACACTGTCGACAACCATGATGATGATGATGATGATGATGCATTTTTTCCAATAGAATATGTTTTATTTTTTTGGCAAAACACGACAATCAATCATTTTACTTGAAATACTTTTACAACACATTGTTGTATAAACTAATTAGTTCATGTGAAATGACAAGCAAAGTTTAAATCTGACGGATGTATTGAGATGATGTATTGATTATGTGTATGGATGCATGCAATATCTTAATCTAAATAAAGTCGGAAATAATAATGAGAAGCCATTTATTTGTTAAGGAATTTTGTGGAATTAAAATATTGTGAAGATATGATGATAATTCAAATAAAAAAAACTTTCCATTGCACGAAGTATGAAATTAAATTTATCATCTGCGAATATTATATCGGCAGAAAAATAATGATTTTGCAAAGGATTTATCCTTAAATCTCTCCAAGCTAACTTTAAACAAAAAGGAAAAAAAATTAAAAAATACGTGCTTATACAAAAGTATATGTGCTATTGAAAACTTTCTCTTAACTGGCATATAATAAATACTTGTCGTCAAAAGAAATATTTCAGTGTTTAAGACTCTGGTTCGGAGTTTTGTTTTGTCTCTAAAATTCTCCAAAATTTAGTTTTTTCACAGTTATTTGATACATAAGCAAGACAGATTTTTTTTTTAAATAGTATATACATTTTATGTATTTTCTTATTTTCCACTTTCATTTTACTTTAATTAGAATTCAGTCTAACAGCCTCTGTTTATATAAAGTCTTACAAGCTCGTTTATATGAAAGTGACAAAAACTTACCATTCTAATTTCATTGAACATTTTTAAGAATGTACTTTCTTTGTGACATTAATCTATTCATAAAAAATTAATGGTCATATGTATATCAATCAAAGCATCACAATTCACGAAAAATATGTAAATGAGATTATTTAAGAAAAAATTCCAGGCTTTGTTTTGTTTTCTTAAATTGTAGCCTTGGTAATTTTGTAGTAACATTTTTGCAACCTGTTTTTTTTTTCACTATTTTGAATATTTTTAAACTGTATGAAGTGTGACTGTTACTCTTTAAATTTTTTTCAATGAAAAAAAAGGAGAAAAATTGTCCGTTCCTTATCTTCTATTACAGATTCTGAACAAAAAAAACTTTACACCCAAGTTCAAATCTATACTTTTTATCTGTTTTCTTTTCGAAAAGAAAATCAAATTTCTTCAAGAATCTTTTTTTCTGACCCAAGTTTGATAAATAGTAAATTAAAAAATATAAATGCCACTTACATACACACATCAGCAGCACGACGCAGGTTCGTGGTCCCGGGCCCATTCTGAAAGTCTGACGGCTGGGGTATGTTGGTTTGAGTAACGATAGCAGAGATTCTTTTTTTTTTTTTTTCTTAGAAGTTTCCTTCTTCCCTAACAGAAACTGAAAATCAGCGTTCCGCGTCTTATTATCTCTAATATAATGCGTTGACAGGTGATTTTAATGTATATAATGTCTTAGTTTGATTAACTATTAAACGATTTATACACATTTATCTTACTGAAGGTTATCAGAAAAACAAAAAATACTTTGGATTCTTTTAACTTTATTACGTTTCTGAATTGTTAATGAAATGCTCCTAAATAAATAAAAGTATATATAAAGGTAGGGAAAATGGTTATACAAAGGCGGCATTATTGAAAAGTATTGGTCTCTTAATTCATTAGTTTTACCTTCATCATTTACATGATGTATTCATTTGTAAATAACTCAGTGTGTTGACATGTCAATACCTTTAGTCATATCAGATCTATCAAAAAAAATTAATAGAAGACAATTCTTCGCCGTATATAGAGATATGCTACTCAAAACAATTTTTTCATTCACTACTCCATTTTCCCTCTCTTTTTTATCACTTTTTTAACTATTATGTACCAAGAGCACATGTGCATTTAAAATAGATATTAAATTTAAATCAAAGGATTAATTTAAGTTACAACAACTTGTTTCCGATTTATTAGAAAAATTCGCTTTTGATTGTCAGTTAAATCTGTTTGACAGAACTGTTGTTCCTGTTTCGTTACATGGCTACGATGTATATTATTGAACATCTACTTTACGATTTTTGAAATATATTTGAAATCTAACATCTAGTGCCTTGAGTTTTATAGTATACGGTGAAACTGGACGTTAAGCAATTTATCTGCTTATTTATAGAATGATATCTTTCGGGGGGGGGGGGGGGGTCGTTACATGAAATGAGAATAAGCTTTATAGAATAATCTTTATAGTAGATATACCAAAAATGATAAGTAATCCATGAATATTTTGTATACATAATATTCTAAAAACAATAGGACTTCGCTATGTTTTGAATGATCTCAGTTTTCATTTCCCCTGTTGCCAGTCACACCAGTTGGGAGATATAAACACCATATGTGGATGATATTGGAATATTACTACATAAACAAGGAATTTGACGAATGGAAATGCTGAAGTCATCTCGTTTGTCATACAGTTTAATTATTAGTTGGCCATAATCAAAGATTATTATTGTAATTGTGCAATAATAATCAGTCTAGAGATGAATTTTTCTACTCACTGGAATACAATGTAATGTGTAATATTTGAAAAGATTTTTTGTTGTTGTTGACAAACAACTACACATCTTATCCTGCACTCATAAGGAAACTATGTACATTTATTAGAAAAATGATTACATTTTCCATTCTTCTCAATCGAAATAGTCTCTGCTCTTCCAGTTTGTTGTAAATATGTATGTATGTACCTCTTCACCATTATTTTTTTTTATTCATAAAATGAATGAATGAACGGATTTTATATGTAATACGTATAGTGTATATATGATGACATTTAAATATATTAACAAAATATAGTTTAAACTAATACTTTATAGCGGCTTTGGAGTCCAGTTTTTCTGCTTGCCTTGAAAAGTTTTATGTACATTAACATATTAATTGATAAAAGGATCACTAGTTAAACCTGCAAGGATGTTAAACCAAAAGGTTTATTGTTAAACGTGGGATGTTGGCATTTACTTTGTATTTTAAGAATCTGCTAAAAATAGGTACTTATATGGAGACAATGAGTTCTTACATTTGTGATATTTTGATAACAAATACTTCATTTAATAACAACCTTACTAAACAAAGTTTTTATACTAAAACTGGGGAAAATTTGCATTGTAAAACTTGAAACGTTGTCTATGGAATACAATGTACTCTCCATGCGGACTGATTTATATTGGGTAAACACAGGGTTCATTCAATAAGAGAATGTCAGGGGAAAACTGGTTTGAAATAAATAATGGGGGCCATCAACATTTTTATAAACATTTCAATTCGTCATACCACTCTATTCTTTTAATGGGGGTTAGAATTTTAGAAGAAAATATATCATCCAACTAATAATTCCACTTAATGTACTCTATTCCGTAGAAGAATACTGAAACATGAAACTAGGCATGGATTTTTTTGTATCGTTGCAACGACCACATAAACAATGTACGGAATCATTCAAGCCCACGTCCAGTGTGCCAATGTGAATGTGATGGGACTTTTAAACAATACACCTAGACGTAGGCATAGTCATGAACATCGATCATACAATATACCAAATATACATGATGTCTCTTTTGATTCACTTTTACCTTACATCAATAAACAATCAGGGTTTTCATCATATTCACACTAAACTTTACTCGGTTCCTTTGAAATTTCTGAATGGACTATTTGAAGAAGCTAAAGCAAGTTCATACTTGGATTCTTCAACTGCGGAATACAATCTAGTGATTATGGATGTTGCCCAGCATAGGCTCTTTAAGCCACCACATGTTTCAGAAGATAATAATTCTGATTCAATCCGTCGTTTCCTTAAACGTAAACATGCCAGCAAAGGAATAGATGCTGTAAACTTTAGTGCATTCTTAATCATAAAAAAGTTCAGTCTTGCATTCCATCATATTTCAAGTTGAATTCTAAACCTTTTCCTACAGATATTCCCAAACAGTTGGTTCCAAACTTTTCAATCATAAACAAAACTTTGAGTGCCTAGATATTGAACATCTAAAACAAAATTCCCTTTATTTGTTCTTGCTCTTGATCTTCTTCTTTCAACTATAGTCCCACTGTCCACGTCATTACCGATGATGTTGATATAGTTAAAAATGACGACCTAAAAACAATCATCTTTAAAGGTCCTAAATACCGGGAGCCCTGATTTTTCAATTGGCGACAGAACTTTATTTCTATTATGAATTCTGTCGAAGATTATGCCAGACGTTGGGCTAAATATGATGGGAAAGACCTGAGCACTTTGTCAGAATGGAATAAATGTTTCAGAAATGTATTAAGGAATCGTGTTAGACAGTTAAAAAGCAATATGCGATCCATCTATCTTTCCGTGCTAACTAAATCGGAGGGGATAAAAAAATTAGAAAGACTAGATGAAAATTATTATGGTACCAGCAGACAAGGCTTGTTACATTATCATCTGTGTTTGTAAGGCTCATTATTGTACCTGTATTTTAGAAGAATTTGCTTTTAATTCTATGTCTGGAAATCCTTCAAGGATGATTTTTTTTTTCAAAATTACATTTCAATCTTTAATACTTTTAACATTCCAGTCAACCAAGGTGAGTTCGATCTACCCTACCTATACTGGATTCCTAAACTTCATAAAAAATCCTTACAAATATACATTGCAGGGTCCAGCAAATGCTCTACCGAGCCCCTATCTTTACTCCTCACAAAAAAATAACTGCCAAAAACTTCAGACGCTCTGTGCTACAGCATATCTAGAAGTGGTGTAAATTAGATGTGGACACTCAAGAAAATCATCAAATTTTTCAAAAGTCAGTAATGTCAAAACGTGAATTACCTTTCTACACTTTATACAACCATTCCTCACGAAAAACTAAAAAAAAAAATATTATTTTTCTTATATCAAAGACGACTACTTCTTCAATAAAAATGGAACTCGGAAATTATCAAATCTTGTGGTTGGTTATCAACAAAATTACTTTGTTAATAATCACTCTGATTCTACACACAAGTACTATGAAGTTGATATCAAAAGGTTGTTTGAGATCCTGATTGACAATATCTACGAAGTCTATGGAGAACAATAGGTCTTTCAACAATCTATCAGAATGACGATGGACATTAATTGTGCTCCCTTATTAGCCTATTTGTTTTTATATTCCTATGAGGCAGAATTTATTCAAAAACTTCTACATGAAGAGAAAACACTTTCTGTGGCCTTTAACTCAACACTAAGATATATCGACGACGTGTTATCAATTAACAATAGATACTTCCATTCCTTTGTCACGCGATATATCCCATTGAATGAAATGAAAAACACCCCAGAATCTGCCACATCTGTTTCATACTTTGATGATTTACTGACTAAGGACGATAAGGGCCAATTAACAACTGAATTGTATGACATTCGAGATGACTTCAGCTTTTCCATCGTCAACTTTCCCTATGTAGTAAGAATAATCCACTATTATCTGCATATGTTGTTTACGTCTCCCAACTTATTCGATACTCAAGAACAAGCTCTGAGTGCGATCAATTTTTAAACCGAAGCAGGCTACTGACCGATAAGTTGATCCTACAGAGATTTCAACAACCTCCTTTAAAGTCAGCATTTCGTAAATTCTATGGTTGTTATGATGACCTTGGGTCGTATTTTGGCTGGTGTGTTTCATAACATTATTTGGCTTATGTTTTTATACTAAATTTTACTACGGAATATTCCGTCTACCTGATCAATACATAGGGCTCACGGCGGGTGTGACCGGTCAACAGGTGAAGCTTACTCCCCCTAAGCACCTGATCCCACCTCTGGAATTTCCAGGGGACCATGCTTTATGCCCTGTTCACAGATTTGCACTGTTTGTAGTTTTGTAGTGTTTTTTTCTGTCTTTTGAGATCGACCAGTGTTCGTTATCTTCACCTTTTTTATTGTTAAAGACATTCAACTTTATTCTTAATATAAAAAATTGAATGAATTTCGTGTGCAAACAAAACGACCTTTTTCAAATTCATGTTCACATAAACATAGCAGATTAATAAAAAATTATAGTATATTGTGTTATTATCTTTGTTTTAATTAAACTTAACAAGCAGTGTAACGAGTATTAGTTATAAACATAATCACAGATTGTACATTCCTGTAGAAAGAGAAATATTGTGTGTATTATAAAATAATAAACTGTAGAACGATGAGGAAAACTGTGAACAAGAACGATAACTTTGTATGAGGCTCCGCCTTAATCTGTCCGCTACCTGGCTGAAAGCTAATACCTGCATCTACAAAAGATATGAAGACGCTCTCGTAGAGTGGTCATAAAAAGTTCTCTTTTTTTTCTATCATTCTGTCTGAAAATATGATGATAAAATGAAATGATGAATATTGCGTTAAAATTATATGTTTATATATTATTAGAAATTTAACAATTTAAAACGAAGTAATCAATATCATTTTAAGGCTTATAATTCCTGTGTTAACTGACATAAAACGTTGCTTTAACGCTTATGATTTCGAGTAGAAATGTTTTTTTATAAGTAAAATGCAAACAATTTTAGAATAGTTTGCATTAGGAATTGTTTTAAAAAAAAAGATATTTTAATCTTGACAAATTTGTAAAGGGAAAAATACACATGTATCCCATTAGAAGTTATCTCTCTTATTAGAATATCAATGAACCTTAATAATAACAAAATCTCATCGAATTGATATGGGGTTCAATACTTCGCTACAACATCAAAAATCATCATTCACCCGCCTTACATATTTGACAGTTTCAATTCTTAAATTATGTCTTTTTTCAAAGCCTTCACTCTTACTTTTCTAAAATCAACTGGCATTTGAAAATGAAAATGTGCTAAAACTTACATGGGCAAACTTGACACATCGTGGGACAGTCCGATGGCACATTGGTGAATCTGTCACACATGTCTGGTGTGAACTGTGAACCACAGAAAAATGGATCTTTTTGTCCTGTGCAGTTTACTACATCAAAATAACAAAGTACAAATTTATTTTTATTCAAAGTAGATGAACTAGTGCTGTATATATTCATTATTAATATGCACAGAAGTAGGTGTCTGGACCTTTGTTTATTTTTATTTTTTTACGGCTGAATCGTTTGATTATAATACGTAATGATGATGAACTGTTTGGAAGGGGTATAGGGGTGTCTCATTTCATTATGGTGAAACTCAAGTGTGCTTTATGTCAGAATGGGATAACCGTGCATACAATCAGTAGAGCATTGTGTTGTTCACTATAATTTCAATGTTCAAATCGAAAATAAAGTAATTTTATGAAATCGAGTAAAGTGATCAACACCTGCAAATTAAAAAGATTTTAGAGTTGTATAATTCTGAAGTGATGGAAATCTATGCTTTTAATCAATTTTGAGGAAATCTCTTAAATCTGAGAAGCTTCAAGCTTAGCATACACCCCCCTCCCCCTTTTTTTTTTGTTTGTTCACGTAAACAAAGCAGGAAACATAAGATACGTTTTTGGATAATAATACAAAGCTTATATGTTTTCCTAGAATACCCTATCGTACATTCCAGTAAAAATACTTGCGTAGTTCTTTGCTAGCACCAAAGGGCACTAGCAAATATTAAACAATGCAGAATAAGCAGCAATCGTTAACAATATGAATCTTATCAGAGTATAAAGTAAGCTGTACCATATTTAGCTTACCATATTTGATAAATATCTCTAAATTTGTATCAAAGATCAATGATTATTCAGTATTATAAATGGTTTGGGACAATTCGCAAATCATTGTTTTCTTTTACTCAATAAATGGTTGATTCCATATTTTCCCATAGTTCTCAAATTTGGATTTGGAATTTGAATAATGTATTCAAATACTTACATTGGCAGGACGGGGCAAGGTATGTAGTAGATGGAGTTTTACACGAGCATGTGCACGTATTGAAATCCATTGTACCTCCATTTTCGCAAACCTTTCCTTGGCAGTCTAGAACACAAAATTAAGTGAAGCAAAATTTAAAGCCCGCAAATAAATTGCCAGCTTGGGGCTAGATGAACGAGATGATGAACTCTTTCAGTAAGAAATATTGGATATAAGGAACTTAAGACTCATCAACGTCTCATCTCATTTTTTTCTTCTTTTATGTACTTTTTATATACATTTAGATATAGGGTGTTCGGGTGTAAGGAATTAAAAAATGACATCCCTGGAGACTTCCTTATACCTTCTGAATAATCAAAACAAATACCAAGTAAAACGTCATCATAAAATTTATTATTAAAGAAAATCTATGATAACTCTTCGACACAATACGTGTAAGAGCACAAGCATAATCATCAAAACTTGTTATAAAAGATACTTTAAATAGAGTTGACCTTATCATATGAAATATCAATTCTCAGAGAGAATTGACCTTACCACATAGACTATTTCTACAGCTTGTTGGACATCCACTACACGCCGCGCCAGATGTATAGGGGTTGTTGATGTCCAAGTTACCCCTGACAAAATAACAGGCATTTTAATTACGTTATTCTGGATGACTCCATTGCTTTGATTTTTTTTTAATTTGATTTTTGAAATAAGTCAAATGCAGTATCCTAAAATGGGAAAAATAAATCTGATATTATGATTTGAAAGATTAAAACTCAATGTAAAAAAAACTTATTCATACTCAGTATTCAAATTTTCATGATGAGTTTATTCATAATTCATAAAATTATGATGAACCAGCACACTGACGTTTATTAAAAATACAATAATTTCAAGCATGATTTTATTATTTTTCAAAGGAGAAAAAAGGTTGAAAGTCATCACAACTTAAATGCTTTGCTTATATACCATGATCGTATATAACGAAATATTACACTGATCAGAAATGATAAGGACGTATAATTACCCTGGTCCATAATTACAAACATAGCTTCTCGTTGACCCACAGACAGCAAACCCACATCCAATTTTTATGGAATCTTTCCAGACAACCTACATGGACATTACCAATTAGAATTAGGGTTTGTGAATAATTAACATTTATATCTGAACAACGTTAAGAGAGAAGTAATCAGAGAAAAATAATTTACTAATTTACCGTTACTTAATTAAATTTGGTAATATTTGAATCGAAACCCGACTAGAAGAAACATGAATTTAATAATCAAAAAAGTACTAACAATTAATTATTATTTGTGAAGATTGGAAACTAAGAATGTAAAATCAAAGGTGAGCACATATACTATGTTTACCTGTGTATAGTGACCCACTTTAGACAAAACATTACTTCCCCCCAGAGTGAAGTCTTTCACCTCGTCGTGCCATAGCGTCACTACACCAGGCCATCCAAGGTCGTATGACGCACTTGCTAAGTTCTGACCCACAGAAAAACGACCTGGAAATGGATAGGTTACTTAAAATTGATACTACATGTACAACACTTGCTGTAGCCTTCAATCGACATTTAGATAATTATGACGACTTTTTAAAGTAAAAAGCAACATTTATTTCCATTGCTAGGTCGATTCGATATATCCCCTAGAACTCGAATCTAATGAACTTTTGAGCTTTCATATTTCAAAAAAGACACCACGGAGTCTGACACATCTGTTCATATTTGGATGTTTTACTAGAGAAAGACATTGATGACAAACTGACAAATAAACTTTAAAATAAACGTGATGACTTCAACTTTCTACGTCGGTTAAAATCTCGACCTTTGCAAATTCTATGGTGGATACAATGACCTTGTTTGCAACTACGATCTATCGTTAAATTGAATGTTGACTGACGTTTTCATACAAACTATTGGCTATTTTTTCACACTGAATTGATACGGATATTCCGTTTACCCGACCATGACAATGAGCACACGGCGGGTGTGACCGGTCGGCAGAGGATGTTTACTCCTCCACGGCACCTGATTCCACCTCTGTTTCCAGAGGTTCGTGTTGGCTCTACTCATGATTTGTATGGCTTGAATTGACTTTTAAGAATGAACACTGTTCTCTAATTTCACATTTCATTAAAGAAGGCGTTTTGAATTTTTAGACGCTAATGGACTCCTCTCGGGGGTATGGCGAAACTCTTAAACCTATAGGGCACCATCACATTTCTAACCATGATTGAGAGCCACTGTATAAAATGTGAGAGGAGTTCTCAGAACAAGGCTTTTTATTAGAATACCCCCCCCCCCCCCCCAGTTGGCCTACCAGATGAAAATTAACATTAACTTACCATATTTCAAATATTGGACACTACCAATCATATTCCAAAGATGATTAAATGATTTGGCTATTGCCTAAAAATATTAATGTTATAGTTCTGTTAAAGTTTCCTTTAAAGGCCATGTTCTGAGAAATTCTCTTACATTTTAACCAGGAGCTACGTATACATTTTAACATTTTAACCAGGAGCTAATAAGCCATAATGTAGAATATAAGTGGTATCCTGTAGATGTGCATAAGGTTTTGAAATTGTCATTTTCATTCTCTGGACCAATTACCAAAATTTAAAACACCTTTTTATCCTACACTAAAGCCTTCTTTCAAAAATCCTTTTGAAACATATCTAATGTTTCATTTTAATTTCTTTACTTTCAAACTTATGAATTTATTATTTGAAATACTAACTTAATTATGAGGCGTGTGGGAAACATGCTCAGTTGAGCTCATTGAAAACTACTGTTATAGTAGTTCTTTTCTAGTTAACCAACTGGTACAAAGGAAAGTATGTTTAGGGGCAAACACGTTGTATCGATGTCTTATAACACCATTTAGTTTATAGATGACCTTCTACCAATGTCTAGGTAAAAAAACATATTTTGCCTACTTTTAATTCCATTTTCTTAAGGAATATAATTTGTTCAAATATAAATAATTTTTTTTAAATACTCTATACAACATATACAAAGAAACATTTGGTGAACATCACTTCAACATACATATAGTTATGGAAAATTAATGTATTTCACACAACATGTACAAAGAGAGATAAATCTGTTAGTGAACATCATGTATTACACTAGAACAGGGGCCAAAAAAAACAGTATACAAATATGTATATATACAAAAATGTTTATAGTAAACTTCCAAGAAAAAACTAAACTAATTCAGTCATTAATTTATAATATCGATCGAGGTAATTCTTTATGATCATGTTATGGGGGGTGGGGGGGGGGTGGTAGGGGTTACTGTGTTAAAAGCAAGTGTAAGTTGGTATAATTAGGTTTCATAAAACAGGTTTTGTTTCATAAGTCAAAATTTATGCTTCCAGAAAAAGAAAGATTTGCATTTTAATTCAGACTTTGCTGTAATTATTGATATCGAAAACATACCAACATACTGATGGGGTATTACTTATATCCTATTTTGTATATTTTAATGGACTTTTGAGCTTGAATACTGTTCGTTATTTCCATATATTTCATTTTAACCACCGAACATGTATCTCTGCTGGTGGACAGTCTGTCCCCGAGGATACTTGTCGTTCGGTACCTATTCATTCATGAGTACACAGAATAACGAAATGATAAAAAGGCGTCACTCTTTTGAGTCTATAAAGGACACAGACTCGAGGAGTTCATTCGGTGCCCCTCGGATTATCCTCAGGGATATTAAACATACGTCATATGTACAGTCTTCAGATTCCCAGTTTTGGTATAAAACCAATAGTTCATACAAAAAATTGAAAGAATGTAAAGTTTCTATTAGAGATATATTCGAAGACTCCTTTTCCGATCCCATGTCTTCTATTTCAAAATGTTCTGCGAAAAACTGTAAAACCTGTGACATTTTGATAACTAACACTTCTTTCACCAGTAATCTTACTGGACAGAGCTTCTGTACCAAAACTTGGGAAAATCTGAACTGCAAATCTTCTAATGTTGTCTACGGAATAGAATGTAATCTTTGTGGACTTGTTTATGTTGGTGAAACTTAGGGATCACTCAATAAAAAAACATCAGGTCATAGATTTCAGATAAATAACGGGGGTCAGCAACTTTTATACAAACATTTTAATTTACCTGATCATTCTATTTTGTCAATGAAAGTTAAAATTCTAGAAAAGATTTACCACCACACAAACAGTCCATCACTGAGTACACCTTTCCGTAGACAACGAGAAGAATTTTGGATTAGAAAGCTAGGGACAGCCTTTCCCTATGGATGTAATGACAATGTCGATAGTGTTGGAAATCTTTCCAGTCCACAGTGTAGCAATGTAAATGTGATGGGACTTTTTAACCATACACAGAGGCGTAAGCGTAGTCATGGGCATCGGTCTTACAATAAACCTTTAATACACGACGTCTCTTTTGATTCATTACTACCTTACGTAAATCAACAGTTAGGTCTACATCATATTCGCACCAAACTTTACTCTGTCCCTTTGAAACTTTTAAATAGTCTTCTTGAAAAGGTCAAGGAAAGTCCATTTTTTGATTCCTCGACACCAGAATATAGGCTCGGATCCGTGATTATGGATATTGCAAATCATAGGCTTTTTAAATCCCCGTGTTTTACTGAAGAAAATGCAGCTAAAACAATCCGTTTTTTCCTTAAACTTCAATATGCCAAAAAAGGAATTGACGCGGTTAATATAAGTAATATTCTTAATCACAAAAGGGTCCAGTCTTGTATTCCACCATATTTCAAGTTAAAGACTACACCTTGTATTTCCTACAAATATACATCGACTATTGCTTCCAAACTTTTTAATTACAAGAAAACTTTACAGGGCCTGGATATCGAATATCTGAAACATAATCCTCCATCGTGTTCATGTTCTTCTTCGCCCTATAACTATAGTCCTGCTGGACACGTTATTACTGGTGACGTTAATCTAGTTAATAATGAGGACCTTAGATCACTAATTTTAAAAGGTCCTAAATTTAGGGAACCCCGATCCTTTAACTGGCGTCGGAATTTCATAAATATTATGGATTCTGTAGAGGACTACGCCAGGCGATGGGCCAGACATGAAAAAGAAGACCTTGACACTTTGTCAGAATGGATTACATGTATCAGATGTATGTTAAAATCACGCATTAAAAGATTGAGGGGCAATATGAGAACCATCTATCCTTCTGTATTCAATAATCCAGAAGTGAAAAAAGAATTAGATAGATTACATGATCAGTACGTACTGGTCCCTGCTGACAAAGCAGGTAACAACATTGACTTTGTTTGTAAGGCTCATTATATTAAATGTATTTTAGAGGAACTTGGATTTAAATCTACAAGTGGTAATCCAACTTATACTCGTAGTTCCCTTTCTAAGGAAGAAATTCTTCAAAATCATATGTCAGTTTTGAATATTTTTAATATTCCAAACAACCAAAATGAATTTGAATTACCATATTTATATTGGATTCCGAAACTTCATAAAAATCCTTACAAACAAAGATACATAGCGGGTTCCAGTAAATGTTCAACCAAGCCTCTTTCTTTACTCCTCACTAAGATATTAACAGTGGTGAAGGAGAAACTTCAAGAGTACTGTACAACAATATATTCGAGAAGTGGTGTAAATCAGATGTGGATACTTAAAAATTCCAAGGAACTGTTGGAAAACTTGAAATCGCAAGATTTTACCAAAATCAACAGCTTAAATACTTATGACTTTTCTACTTTATACACAACCATTCCCCACGATAAATTAAAGTCCAGGCTTTTTGATATAATTGACAGCTGCTTTTTCAATAAAAATGGAACTCGTAAATATACTTACCTTGTCATTGGTCATTTGCAAAATTATTTTGTTAAAAAACTTTCTGATTGTACACACAAGTACTCTGAAGTTGACATTAAAAAGATGCTTGAGTTTCTGATTGACAATATCTATGTGGTTTTTGGAGACCAGGTCTTCCAACAATCTATTGGAATTCCCATGGGTACCAATTGCGCCCCGTTATTAGCAGACCTTTTTTTTTATTCATATGAAGCAGAATTTGTCCAAAATCTTGTACGTGAAAAGAAGAAAACACTTGCTGTGGCCTTTAACTCGACATTTAGATATATCGATGATGTATTGTCAATTAACAATGGCTATTTTCATTCTTATGTCGATACGATATATCCTGGTGAGCTTGAGATAAAAGATACCAAGTCCGACACATCTGTTTCATTTTATTGGATATTTTACTTGAAAAAGACGTTAATGGTAATCTAACAACCAAGCTCTATGATAAACGTGATGACTTTAACTTTTCAATCGTCAACTTCCCTTACTTATGCAGCAATATACCTTCATCACCTGCATACGGTGTATATATCTCTCAGTTGATTCGATACGCAAGAGCATGCTCTACGTATGTATAATTTCTAAAACGAGGTAAATTATTGACAAATAAGTTGATGAAACAAGAATATCAGCTGTCTCGTCTAAAGTCATCATTTCGTAAATTCTATGGTCGATACAATGACCTTGTCAGCAAATACAATTTATCATTGAGTCAAATGCTGACTGACGTTTTTCATACTAATTGTTAGGCCATTATTTACACACTGAATTGTCGACGGATTTTTCCGTTATTTCCCGATCATGACAAGGAGCACACGGCGGGTGTGACCGGTCGGCAGGGGATGCTCACTCCTCCATGGCACCTGATCCCACCTCTGATGTTTAGAGGTCCGTGTTTGCTCTGCTCCTATTTTGTATTGTTTAATGGACTTTTGAGCTTGAATACTGTTCGTTATCTCCATATATTTCATATTACTTATATTATCAGTTTCACGGTTAAGGAGCTCAATTCTTTCAACAATCATTTTCTAGAATTATTTAAATTAATGAAAAAATGAATGTTAGATTATATTGTCTCTTGGTGCGTGTTCGATTCACTTACCAGGGCAGGAATACTGCTAGATTACATTATTTGATCGCGTTCGATTCATTTACCAGGAATACTGCTAGATTACATTATTTGATCGCGTTCGATTAACTTACGAGGTATACTGCTAAATTACGTAATTTGATGCTTGTTCGATTCACTTACCAGGAATACTGCGCTGTCGTCCTCCATCGTGTACGAGTCCTTTACAAGCATCAGCATAACTCTGAGCAATCAATGCTATTTCATCATCCCAATACTAATAAAGAGAACAAAGCCAGCACACTTCAAAACTCTTGTAAAACACTATGTAGAGCAACAAAAATAATAAACAACACACAATATCTATGGGTTGTAACGCTTACCTGCGTTACCATTCTCTTTCTCAAAAATGAATATGTAAACGTACATGTAGATAGATGAAACCCATAATGGCAATCATTAAATTATAAGAAAGTCCTTGACTTGAACAAATTTAATTTACAGCATATTAAAATTTAAAGACAGCTCATAAATTCTAAACATCTTGTTTTTGCAAATCTCAATATTTTTGTACAAACTTATTGTAGCCCAACTCCTAGACAATGCAGGGACAAGGTTTGAACAATGCACTTCATGAGGGTGATTGCATATAAATGTGACTAATTTTGACCTGCTGTTTTTAAAGACTTTTTCCCCTACATTCCCATGTAAAACTCTGACCCCATATTGCATCAAGGATCAAGATTGAAGAGAAAAAATTCAAGTCTGGCCCCTAGTCAAAATACGTGTAGATTATAACAAAACTAATACTTTACATTTGAATCGACAATTACGGTTAAACTTCGGTATCTCGAACACCGATATCTCGAATACTGTGGATATGTCAATGTGAGCTGGAAGTCCAAACTACGTTTCTATACGTATTTTAACTTCGATACATGTATATTAATCTTCAGGTATTTCAAAGCTCTGTTTTCTTGGCCCAATCGAGGTTTGGGTGCAATTATACAATGATAGCAAGAACTGAAATGCTGATATTTCAAGCTTTTCTTGATTAAAAGTAAAACAAAACTTGTTCAGTTTGCTGAACTAGAGAAGACACATAAACCAATGGCTTGTGACAGTGAACAATATCTTGAGTTGTTATTTATCTAACTTTAAGTTTTAAACAGTGGGTGTCCTTAAGAAGACACTATGATTATTTAGAGAAAACTGTGTACTATTATGCAGAATACGTGGGATTACTTTAGAAGAAACTACTCTTTGTCACTCAGAGACGTACAACAAACCTTAAAATACTCCTAAATAATTTAGATGATATATTTAGTGCTTGAGACGTTTCTCAATATAGGTTAGTTGCAGTTGTTAGTTTGTTTTGCGTGTTTAAGGAGGGGGTAAAAATTGCAAAATAACAACTTTTCTATATATGTAGCACCCATTTCACTAACCATTTTCGCCATGATGACCGCTGTTGGCTGTACGCCCGATCTGAATTCATTATGTTTATCTACAATCGATTTCTTGTCTTCTTCGGATACACCTAGAATGGAAAATGAACGATAAATTAGCAAATACACAGTTTCCCAATGTCTGAACGAATATCCTTAAAGCTTCGCTAATACAAAACATTCAAGTACATGTACTTTTACCTCAGTCAGATAACGTGTCCTGATGTTGCAACGAATTTAATTATCTTAATCATAAACCCTTCAGTCCTGTATTTTATGTGATTTATCAATGCTATATAGCAATGAAGAAAAAACCAAATGTTTGCAGAAATGATGAAAGAGGGTAAAAATACACACCATACAGTAGACAAAATTGCTAACGCACCACTAAATATACTCATTTGTTTACTGAACATTTACCGTAGTTTGTGTCTAATCGGCTCTAGTATATCTAATATGCCTTCTTGTCCATTGTAGTCAAATTGGCAATTTCTTGGTGTCATGACATAATCCTCAAATAGCCTTCTTGTCCGAAAAACCAATATCCCAAAGTCCACTGGGCACCATGTTTGCCTTGATAATGAAATTGGAGGTTACCAATGCTGGTCAGTAATGTTGAAACAGAGGCGGTTGTCCAGCAAAATATCAAATGATATAGGGTTTATAGGGTTTTTGTCTATCATATAATCTAGCCTTGGTGTTCATACCCCATTCACCACACTTCCGGTTGCCGAAGTTTTGTGGACCAATCTTGCAATTTTTATTCAGGTATTGCTAGCAATTGATTTTAAAAGGACATGTCCGTAAAACTTAAACTGGTCAATCATCCAGAAAATACACGTCAGATTTAGCATACAAAACAAGTCTGTTGATGTACATCCCTTGATGCATCATCCAAACATGTTTGGTCTATCTGTATTGAGTCTCTAGATTTATCATAAATTCAAGTTTGCTCTATGAAGGGCTTTAAGGATACACCAAAGGCTTTTTTCAAGATTTTCAACAATTTTGAGATTTTTGGCCAAGAAAAAATTTAATCACTGCTTTATAATGCATGTAAAATTCTTGGTAATTATGAAATGGTTTTCTAATTATTTGATCTGTGACTGCCTGCTCATGAAAGACGCAATAAATCACTGTGACCACTTGGGGAATTCTTCACTAGCCACACAGAGGTTATCAGTAATTAAACTACAGAGACTCTAGATTTAGAGAAAGAGATCTAACAGATCACTGATGACCATAAAATAGGAGGTGGAGCTTAGCTCTTGCCATTTTGCCGGGAAATCTTTCTGATTCAGAATTGAACCAATTTTACTTCATTAAAAGCATCTAAATAAAGAAAAGAACCTCCCATTCTTGTGAATATGCAAAGGAAATATGGCTAAGTGACAGGTATCCAAAGCTGAATCTCCAAGGTGTCATATATTCCTAGCTTTGGCAGATTTTGTTGTGTAATGGGTTTTTGTCCTCTACTGTAAAGTAAGATCAGGCAGTTTGTGGTATTATTTCAAAGTATTCAGCTCCCTTATTTATTGACCAATTTCTCTGAAAATTGTATGGGTTAGTTCTCAAATGTGTGTTCACAAAACCGTATCTCAGATTTTTGATATCTAGCTTAGTTTTGGAATTATTGAGGGAAATGTTAAATCAGGCTAATAAATTGGTAACACTGAAGGGCAAATGGCTGTAACTTTTGAATTAGAAGATTTATCAAAAATCTGAGATACGGTTTTTAAGCTCAATCTTTAATCTACCTTGAGGTAAAATGACCACTTTGAGGGGATAAATACAAAAAAGTTGATTTATAAAATATTTATGCACTAAAATTTACATTAATATTTAAATAATTTTTAAATAAGTTATTAATTAAAGTTTAAATTAGGATAATTAAATAGTAAATTTAACAAGCTTTCAAATGATATATACTTTTATTACGTTATCTTTGATAATGAAAGAATTACATGCAAATTAAATTCTGGCATTTGGAAACCTTTGGTGTATCCTTAAATTAAATTGGAATGAACCTGCTTCAAAACCTTTAACTTGGTCATTCCTTCAGGATTATAGGACAATCCATCATCCGAAACAAGTCTAGTAGTGTGCATCTCTATAGATGCATCATCCTTAAAGTTTGGTCGGGGTAGGGCTTGAATTTACATTGAAATGAACCTGCTACAAAACTTAAACCTAGTCACTCATCCAGAAAATGAAGGTCAAATCCAGCATCCAATGCAAGTCTGATAGTGTTCATCCCTTGATGTATCATCCATGCAAGTTTGCTCTAGGAAAGGCCTGAAGTTGCACGGGAATGGGCCATTCCACAAAAAAATTAACCTGGTCACTCATCCAGAAAATATAGGTCAAATCCAGCAAGTCTGGTAGTGTGCATCCCTAGATGTATCATCCATGTAAGTTTGGGTCGCTCATATGGAAAATGTAGGTCAAATCCAGCATCCGAAGCAAGTCTAGTGGTGTGTATCCTAATATGTATCATCCTTGCAAGTTTGGTCAACATAGGGCTTATAGTTACTTTAGAATGAACCTGCGCCAAAAGTTTTAACCTGGTCGCTCAACTGGAAAATAAAGAGGTCAAATCCAGCATTCAAAGCAAGTTTAGTGGTTTGTATCTTAACGTATATCATCCTTGCAAGTTTGGTCAACATTGGTCTTATTGGTACTTTAGAATGGACCTGCTCTTTTAACTTTAACCTGGTCACTCATACGGAAAATGTATGTCAGATCCAGCATCCGAATCAAGTCTGATAGTGTGCATCTGGTAGTGTGCATCCTTAGATGTATCATCCCTGCAGGTTTGGTCAATATAGGACCTTTAGTTACTTGGCAACGGACCTACTCCAAAAACTTTGATCTGCTCTAAAAACTTGAATCAGCTCCAAAAACATAAACCTGGTCAGTCTTTGCATCTACAAAATTGCGGCATCTACAACCTGGTCTGGTACAAAGAAACATACTAAAAGCATCGTCTAAGTATCTGAATAGAAATCTGCTTCAGAAACTTTAACCTGGGACGCCGACACCGACGCCAAGGGTATTACATAAGCTGCCCTAACTTCGTTGAGCTGACCTAAAACATTAGTACAAGCATAAAGAACACAAAGCAGACAAGATGAGTTTGTGAAACGTATGGCAACTTATAGCGAAGGTTAAACTTTCTCAAATGCAAATCAAATTCATTGGTACCCAAAGTAAGGTCTTGTCTCAAAGAATATACCTGTGAAATATGAAAACCTTAGAGCAACCATTGAAAAAATATGGAAAAAGTTAAAGTTTTTCAAAGGGAATCAATCATGAAGGTCATGGTCAAAATTAATGGTGCCCAAGGAAAGCCCTTCCCACAAGAATACGCATGTGAAATATGAAAGCCCTAGAGCCAACCATTCAAAAATTATGGCCAAGGTTAAAGTTTTTCAAAAAGTAGGTCATACTCCAAGGTCAATGTTATAAGGTCAAAGTTCTTGGTATCCAAAGTAAGGTCTTGTCACAAGGATTAGATATGTGAAGTGTGAAAGCCCTTGCACAAACTGTTCAAAAGAAATGGCCAAGGTTAATTTTTTTTAAAAGTAGGTCAACCTCCAAGGTCAAAGTCAAAGAGTCAAAGTTCTTGGTATCCAAAGAAAGGTTTTGTCACAACGATTACATATGTGAATTATGAAAGCCTTAGCACCAACTATTCAAAAGTTATGGCCAAAGTTAAAGTTTTTCAAAAGTAGGTCAAACTCCAAGGTCAAATGGTCAAAGGTCTTGGTATCCAAAGGAAAGTTTTGTCATAAGGATTACATATGTGAAGTATGAAAGCCCTAGCTCCAACTGATCAGAAGTTATTGCCAAGGTTAATGTTGGGTAAAGTTTTGCAAAACTGGGTCAACCTCCAAGGTCAAAAGGTCAAATATGATGGTACTCAAAGAAAGGTCTTGTCACAAGGAATACACTTGTGAAATATGAAAGCCATAGCTCCAACCAATCAAAAGTTATGAGCAAGCTAGGTTGAAGTTTTTGCAGACAAACAGACAGACAGGGTAAAAACTATATCCCCCCGAATCTTCAATTACGGGAGCATAAAAATAGAAATATATGCCTCCAAAAACCGTGAACACGATTTTAATGCGCATTACGCTAGTCATTTATCAGTTTAGACATTTATATTACTTACTTTGAATTTTAATAACATTTTTTATACATCAAATACATCATAAGCTGAGTAAGTTTTCTTTGGTGGTGCGTTAGCAATTTTGTGTAATGTATATTCTTAGCACTCCTTATCAATCAAAGTAAAAATGTTTATTTCCGTTGTGCTTTCATTTTCACTGTTTTCATGTACGCTAAATTATTACAACATTCAAATAGATAGATACTTAGACGTACATCAAAGGACTAGAAAACTGAGAAAAAAAAAATGTGTGAAAACTAAAATACTTAAAAATAACTACAAAATATTACAGTTTTGTACTGTATCCGTTCTGATCATAAATAGTACAAAAGCAAAAATGAAGCACACCTAAACTAAACCTAGACAACTCTATATTTGACCACCGGGACAATCGAAAAAATAAGACTATATACGCAAATAATATATATCAGTGTTTTTCATATTTGGCAAAAAAATGTGATACGCAGAAAAATCAAACTTTTATGTTTTGTTTGTGATAAATAGAATTTTGTATATATATATATATATATATATATATATATATATATATATATATATATATATATATATATATATATATATATATATACAATCATCTGGTTTCAGTTCATTATATGATATATATTTACATTCTTCCTTGTTTACACACCTGAATTGGTCGCCTCTGATGATTTTTGTAAACATGCAGAATGATTTGGAATAACCTGAAACTTCTTAGCACAACTGGTCTGTAATCAAAAATAGAAAAGCTGTGAAGAAACAAGAAAATCGTTTAAAAAACTGGTTTCAAAACATTTCTTTCAGTAAAAATATAACTTGTGGCAAAATGAATGCATGGCACGTATTTAAAATACGAAAACGTATAATTAATTTATCATACATGTATACTTGTTCAAACCATGAACAGGTATATCATATAGTTTTTCAAAACATGAACAAGTATAACATACACTAGACTTTTATCAAATAGTTGCTCAATACATAAACACGTATATCATACCCTTGTTTAATACATGGGCATGTATATTATATATTAAAGATTCTGTATACAGGGCATGAAGGACTTAACGCCCGAATGACAACTTCTGTTTTAAATTTCATTTTATTTTCAAATAAATATAATGATAAATCAATTTTACACTTTTTTTATTTTAGTTTTATTAAAACTTTATATTTCCTCATTTCTATTGAACTTGCATAAAATTGTACATTCATTTTGGTTTGAAAACACAGAGCGCATGTGATCCTTTCTTTGATTTGCATGCAGAAAATGATCTTCATACAAGTTCTTGTACATATGTCCATAGGACATGAATGCCCCGCACAGGGTTCATTAAAAATGCAACATGAAAATGTGTATCAGTGTATGAAGTTTAATGAAAATATTTTGAATAGTTTCTTCAAAACTGATTTTTATACACAATAGATAGTAAGGTCATTGGGGGGGGGGGGGGGGGTTTCAAGGTAATAGAAATTTGGACACAGCTGATATTGAATTCTCACCAAATAATGTATCAGTGCATAAGGTTACATAAAAATATCTAGAATAGTTTGTTTGAAACTGACATAAACACAAATTTGAGAAAATTTAGGTCAAGATGAAAGGAAGGGTCAAGGTCAAAAATGTTGATGAAGTTTAAAAAGCTATTACCAATATGTACCAGCATATAAAGTTTGATAAAAACATCTTGTTTCTTTGAAACTTACTAGCTAAATATAAATTTGAGAAATGTGAGGTTAAGGTCAAAGGAAAGGTTAAGATTTACAATGTTGATAAAATTGAATAGCTCTCGTCAATATGTATCAGCATAAGAAGTTTGATGAAAACATCTTCAATGGTTTCTTTGAAATTTAGCTAAACACAAATTGGAAGTTCAGGCCAAAGGAAAGGTCAAGGTCAAAAACATTGATGCAGTTGAATAGCTCTAACCTACATGAATATACATGTAGATGTATCAGCATATCAGGTTTGATTAAAATATCTTGATTAGCTTCTTTGAAACTTAGCTAAACGCAAAGTGTGACGGAAGGACAGAAGGACGGAAGACGGACATGACAAACACTATATGCCCCGGCCACATTTACGTCGGGCATAAAATCTTATTAAATTTCATCTAAACACAATCAATCACTTTATCAAAAAAAAAAAAACAGGATCAAAACGATCCATGCATGGGCAAGAGTAAATACGTGTACGGAAATATGAGTAGCACTATAACAGATTTCCAGCGACATCAATAGCTGATCGTGTTTCATCTATTTGTGGTTTGGTGTTAGTCATGAAAATGGCTTAGTGAAATTGATAATCTTATAATATCATGTATTTATTTCTATACCTAATTGTATGTTCTAGAGCAGAAAACCTTAACATGTGCATGTTCCAGCAACAAACACTTATAACTCAAATACACGTGTAACTAAAAAGCCCCCTCTAATGTTCATAAGAAACAGTATTCCACTCGTCTACTCAATAAATAGTCAATATACAGTCTGACAATTTCTATATTCATTCTCTTTTTTTATTATTATTTTAATTTAGCGGCGGGTGTGGCCGGTCGGCGGGGGATGCTTGCTCCTCTTGGACCCCTGATCCCGTCTCTGGAATTTCAGGGGGTCTGTGATTTTCTGCCCTGTTCACAGATTTGTATTGTTTGTAGGTTTTATAAGATCGATCACAGTTCCTAATCTTCACCTTTGTCATTATGATATAAAATGAAGTTTTTAGTCTCTGCTTTTTAATATATACAAAAAGGATAATATTTTTTTTAAAAAGGGTTAGTTTTAAAAAAAAAAATCAACTTCACTTTGTTCAGAGTAGCAAAGGAAAACTTTTTTTTAAATTCTTTAACTACATTTCAACTCAGCTTGAAAGATCCTTTTCAGTTTTGATTCCAACTTTGCTACAAAATAAAGTGATTTGGTGACAGCAAGCAGAGTCATGCCTTTTAAAAAATTCAGCAGAAATGGAAAAAAAGTTACCTATCGCCAAACAGGAAAAAGAAACACTAATATGTGTGCCTAATTTCCTCAATAATGTCAAAACTTTTAACATTTTTTTTTTTACATTTAACTTAAATTTTGCTTAAAATTGTAATAATAATAAAAGAAAACTCTTTACAGGTATACTTAGGATGAAAAAAAAACACGACTTAATAAGAATTTTAGGTAAATCTCTTTTCACGTTATGGACACGCACAATGTAGTTTTGAACTTTATTTTATCATTTCTTGTGTAAATGAAGAGTTCTTAAATAATTGAAGGGACCTACATGTTGTTTTATAGTTTCTAATCACCCAAAATTAATTTTGAGAAAATACCAGCCATAAACCATTGAATAGAATAGATTTATTTGCCAATCATGGTCCCACTGGGGGCATAACATAGATACATTTAAGCATGTGTTTGGTAACTGTATATTTTTCTTTGAATAGCACAAGGAATTTCCTAATTTGATATTTATTTAAAATCCCTGGTGATGCATGCTAGCTGATCATCTGATGGTACTGTGATAATCTATAGAAAGTACGTTCTATAGTTGTGTATATAACCTTAAGATGATGCGTTTACAAGGCGGAAAAAGAAAATCAGTACATTACATATTTAATAAGTGAAAGTACTTACAGATCTTTTATAGCGATGAACCGAGCCCAGTACTGATAAAACACCTGAAATATGAAACAGACAAAATAGGACAGTCCGCATAATATACTGACTGCTTCGGTTTAGAAGCTCTCCGTGGACTAATATAGACATTGGACATCAATAACTAAGTCTAATTAAAGGTGAGATCTGTATATATAATGGAGGTATAATACGCCGAATCGGTCAGGTATTCGACAGCTGACCTTCTTATGACACGGCCAAATGGTGAGAGAAGCAGAGAGAGAGATGGGAGAGAGAGAGAAGTCCTATTCAAGATTATTATAATAGGACACATCCTAAATAAAATAAAAACAATATAAAACATAAAAGAAAGAAAAACAACAATTAACAAAGCTCACCTGTACACGTGTAAATCAGCATTAAAATCCAGGTGTGCGATACCATGTTGAAGGCCCAGAAGCTGAGTGTAACATGAAGCGGGGACGATGCAGAGTTTTTGTTTACAGGTCGGGTATCTCGGTTTTCCTTTGTTATCAAAATACAAATCATTAGCATGTGTTTCAATTAGGGGAGCTTTATGTTTGGGTGAAACTGATATTAATACAGGTATTGAGAATAATGCACAATAGGCTTTAAAGTATATATATTTTTTAAATTGTTTCAATAAATCCCGTGAATTATAAATTACTTAAAATAAAATTTGGTACTGAATTGTATTTTTACAATTCATGCGTAATCTTTATCAATAAAACATCGAAAAACCGTTAATTGAAAGTGCAGATGTGGCGTGTGGTCCTCAGATAGTTTCTTTCATGCATTTAAAACAAAATTTAATCAAAGTTATTTCCCCAACATCACGCACATGCACATAACAGGGGCGGGTTTCATCATTTTTCAAAGTGGAGGGGTGGGGCAGGCACAAAAAAATCTGATAAGTGAAAATATTGGAAAAGACTTGGAAAAAAATAAAAATAAAGAAAGGAAAAGGGGAAAAGGAAAAAAAAAATACTGGTTTAAATGAAAAACCTCAGGAAGGGGTGGGGGCTAAGAAAATAAATCCTGGTCGAAAATTAGTACATGTGTGTGAGGGGGGAGGGGGGCACCAGCATTTGAATAAAAAATTTTATCGTAAATCAACAGCAAAAGGACTGTTCTTAGAGATAAATTATAGACCTATAAAGCCCTTCCCGTGCATGCAGTTCGCTTGCATAATAAGCTGGGGGAGGGGGGTCCTTAAATCGCAGACTTACATTTTATGAACGATGGGGCGATGGGAAAAGGGGGGGGGGTAAGTTTTCTAATCAAAAGGTTGATTCAATCATGATTGAAAAGTTCGACTTGCCATTTTGATGCACAAGGCGAGCTTCACCGGCCCATGAATCTCTTAAAATAACAATGCGTATTTGATATGGGCGTTAACAGAGAAAACGGCATTTTACTCAAGCGTTTACACTATCTACAGACGCCAATAAACAATACAGTATATAAACACAGTCAGTGTGTGTTAAAGCGATCATTAGCTGGTCGTTGTCCGAAACATCAATCATATGACGTTTTTACTTTACCTTCAAAGCAAAATCCAATGATCATTCGACGATGTAAACCAATGTTTGTGAAATTTAGCGGAAATACTTCTTGTTACATTTTTGAAAACATTCTACAGGGATAGCAAAATTGAATACCTGACTGTCTAAATTACTTCATTTATATATGTATGCTGTGAATATCTTTCCGAATTTCAAATCAGGTTTTTTGCAACAAAATTCTGATTTACAAGTTTAACACATCTAAATATTTTGGCTTTAAACATTAAAATATCTAGCAAATGACAAATTTCCTTGTATATCTAACACCCTTTATTGACGTTTCTTTTTATCATCTTATCTAAATTTGCATTACATAAAATGCATTTTGAGGGGAAAATAACATAAATATTTTTTGAAGCGAGAGAGAGAGAGAGAGAGAGAGAGAGAGAGAGAAAACTACAAATGAAAAATAATTAACACAATAGAAAAAGTCCTTTTACCTTACGCTCCGTTTTGTAAGCACATGTCTACCATGTAAATCCTAAATACCCTGTCTTACTGTCTAACGAGGCGATGAATCCACTAAGTGGTGTTTCCGTTTCAGTAATTATAAGATCTAAAAGGGGACCCACCTACTAAGTAAGGGAACTAAACGAACAACGGCATCCGAATGTGTCCACCACGTAGATATATACAAATTAAGTTCATACAATTTAATATATATTTTAATCTATAGATAAAATACTCGATATTTAAATTTGTCGCTCCGATGTGTTCCTTTCCTGTTCGTGCGGAAAATAGAAAGATGTCAATTTTAAATCTTGAAGTAATATGCACTTCAGTACATATTTAGAAATATATTTGCGTCTTATTTTCAAATGTTTTCTAGTGTGTTTTTTCCCTATAATCATTCTGTAACTTTTTAATAGGAATTCGTAGATACTCTAATGATGTCAATAACCCACAATAAATTTATTTATAGATATGATGGAAAAACATGAAATAGCCCTCTTAATATTTTTTTAATCATTTTTTTATTTTATTTTTTATCATTGACATATATTCATTATTACTATTTGCATTTGAAAGTCCAAATAGTGAAGATTGGAATTTGCCCCCCCCCCCCCACCTTTTCTCCCTTAAAGCTATTTTAAATTTATTTAGTGCATAAAAAACAAACAAACAAACAAATATTCCACCCTACCCCAAGTCATCCCCTTTTGAAGAGAAGTTTTGTATTAAAGAAGAAGAGCAACGTACCTCCAGTTTTTTTTTCTGCTTACGAAATCGGAATAAATTATTAATCAGGCATATATTGCAACTAGGTCCGCCCAGTGGACCAAGTTTCAAAATAATATTTTCGCACTTTAATTTTAGACTGGATATGGACCCCCCCCCCCCCCTCCGGCTTTACATGTTTTTGGCTCTGTAAAGGTCTGAAAAATGTTTTGTTTTTTTTTTTTGGATCTACTCAAGTTTTAGTTTACAACCCATTTAAAAATATTATCTAAAACCATGGTTAATACATACCTATTAAAATGACGTAATATTCTCTTGATTAATCAACGTGTTATGACGTAATGCATTGCGTCATTATTCCCTTTTCCTGAAAAATTCTTCCAAACTAACCAATATTTTACGATGTTTTTCCACATTTTCGTCCCTATTGATAAAAAAATGGAGGTATAATTTATTGATGGAACTGTTACTGAAGTTTTTAAAACATGACCGTTTCATTTATTTATTGGGGGGGGGGGGGGGTGACGATCGATGATCTATAGACGGGACCATTTTATGCATAAAATGAACCTATACAAGTTCCTATGACAGGGTATATCTTGTGAAAGGGGGGGGGTATATGTAAAAAGAAAACTGGGATTCGTGTAAGATCTCAACTTTTCGTAAGGTACCTATATAGCAATGTTCTTGAAGCTATATCATAATATTTTGAAAATTCAAAATTAAATACTAGTACTGGTATATTTTACTTTTGAACATCTTAATAAGTTCTGGTTTATCTCTGTGAGCATGACGTTTGTTTCAGTCAAGCTGCATATATATATATATATATATATATATATATATATATATATATATATATATATATATATATATATATATATATATATATATATATATATATATATATATATTGGGTCGGTGCCCGATTTGCATTTATTTCCACAAATTCAAATTTGAAGCGAATATCTCTGCTTATCGCGAGTGTAGACATCCTCCTAGAATATCGCAATAAAATCACAAATGAAGACAACTGGAAAATAGAGTCGACATATTGAGATATATGAAGCTTCACCACCCTTTCCAAAAAAACAACCAAAAAAAAAAAAAACAAAACAAAAAATTTAATCTATTGTGTCAGACCATTAAACCTGTTTAATTTGAACAAATACCGGTAGTAGATTTTAAATCCAATTTAGCACAAGAAAGCCCTAGGCTATTATCAAAACATGCAATCATTTTAAAAATGTAAACTACACGATGATTTTTTTTTTTACAGGAAAAGTTACTTTTATTCTCACGAACACGTTGATCAAACAAACATCATTAATTTGACATCCAATATTTGCAAGCATTGAAAGCTGCTGTCTCGACACAAATTGTACTCAAAGTAGGGTAAGGGGGAAAAATAATGTAAATGCATATTCTTATTACTTTAAACATAATTTTTTAAATCTTTTTCGTGCTGCAAGAATACATGGCCGTAACAGCCATCGAAGCAAGTGAGGCAAATGCCTCACTAAAAATTGATTTTTTTTTTTTTAAATTAAAAATTTGAATTATTTGTGTCATTGTACTTAATCAATACTTTAAACATAATAACATCCAATTTCCGAATATCAATCATCTCGCCAGGTTCTTGATTATTTCATTATTCATTCAGGATGTATGTTTTCATCTGTGCGCGCGTGTGTGGGTGAAGGGGTATTAAATATGACCCTCTATATACTTTTTAGGACGTTGAATTATTGAATCGTATAAAGGCGTCAATTTTTAGTTTATATTTTATTTATAGGGTACCAGCCATTTACAACTAGGAATGAACAGAAATGACTGTTGTTTACTGTTCAAAGTGGGAATAAATATGTACATAAATTGTTAAATTAATACATCTGGGCCTAATAAAATGGTAAGAATGTTTTAATTGATTACAGATTGAATAATACTCAGTATACTAGTATTTCAATTCATTTTGTATAATTTAAGTTGTAAGGAAAGTTTACCTTAACTGCATGGAAAAAATACTACAGAATTTAGTGTGCAGTGTATGGAGGGTCATTTACAGTTTACACGGCATGCATAAATCATTTTAAAAAGTGAAAACGTGATATAAATCTTTGTTAAAACCTAGAGCTTCTGGAGCCCCCCAGGTCCCCCATCAGGGTTTTGCCATGGACCGTCTGGAACTTTTGCAGTCTCCAGACCCCTTGCTTCACTAAAAATTTGTGCCTAGTAACGGTCCTTGGAATATGTTCTAGTTCTACAACATACCAATGTCTTAATATTTTTCTCAAAATATATTAAGTTTATTGTCATTTAAATTGATAAAGCCTGAAACGGCTGCATATTCTGATAATAATGCCAAAAGGCAAACTGGGGCATTTATATGTTACGTTAAAGTTTTAGAATTCTCAGAATAAACAAGAGGCCCAAGAGCCTTAACGGTCACCTGGGTATAATACAACACTGTAAAGGATCCAGAGAAATATATAAAACAAAATAAACTGAAAGGGTATAAAAAATATTGCCCAATAATTTCAAAAATCTGGTAAAAATACCCTTACTTATTGTAACATGCAAGACCCGAGTGATCTCCTTGGGATCGTACTTGCAGGGTTTGCCTAAGTCTTACAAGGATGATAATGAATGCACAGTATACAAATACAATGGGCACTTGCCTAGTGTGTAAGGTATTCAATATATACACAGATATGTTTTTGTCACTTGCCTTGTGCTACAATTAAGTACACAAAGAGAAATCTTTACTGCCTGTATATTACTCGAGGTGATGCCTCAAGGCTACACATACAATATAGCTGCTTGCCACTTGGTAACACTTAGTACCAACACATGCCTCTTGGCTTTGTAAAAAGCTTGGCAATAGCTGTTACTTGGCTATACTACATGGCCATTTGCCACTTCTCACCAACTACATGTTCCCTAGTCACCCTGCCTCTCTATGATCACTTGGTCTCTATGATAAATTATAAACAACTTCATGCAGTCTCTTCTTAATTAAACTATGAACTCCATGACCTTACATGTACCTGACAATAAGTCATTAAATACTCAATACACTGCTATTTTGCTACATAAATCTTTATGTAAATCTTTTATACTGCTTTACAGGCACGAATCCGTCTTTGAGCATTCTTTGCACATTTAAACCAAGCACTTATTTTTATTTTGTTAATTAAATTATAAACATGGATTTCTTAATTGATACAATTTAGCAAAGGGAAGTAACTCTCATTTGCTTCACTTATTACAATTTTGTACTCTGAAAAGCACAAAAGATTTTTTTATTTATTTCTAATTATACATTTACAATTATTTTACAGTACTGCATTTATTTTGTTTGCTTAATACTCAGGGACAGGGGAGAAACTTTTCAAAGAATTAATGCATTTTCACTATATAATCAATAAAGACCCATCCAAACACCAGAACCCCTGACCCAGGGGCCAATGAATTCACAATTTCGGAAGAGGCACCTTTGCTCATCATAACCATGCATTTTGTTCATCAGCTTAAAACCTAGGAGCAGAGAAGGAAATTTTCAAAGAATTAATGCATTCTCACTATATTATCATTAGAGCCCTGTCCTAACACCAGAATCCCTGACCCAGGGGCCATGAAATTCGTAATTTGGAAGAGGTACCCTTGCTCATGATAACTATGCATTTAGTTTGATTGCTTAATACCAAGGAGCAGAGAAAAAAAAGTTTAAATCATCAATTCATTTTCAACATACATGTCATAATAAATAAGTCCCCTCCTAGCAGAACCCCTGACCCTGGGGCCATGAAATTCAAAATTTTGGTAAAGCACCCTTGTTCATCATAACTATGCATTTAGTTCATCGGCTTCATACCTAGGAGCAGAGGAGAAGATATTCAAAGAATTAATGCATTTTCACTATATAAATTAATCATTAGAGCCCTGCCCTAACACCAGAACCCCTGACCCAGGGGCCATGTAAGTCACAATTTTGGAAGAGGTATCCTTGCTCATTATAACTATGCATTTTGTTTGTTTGCAGAATATCCAGGAGCAAAGGAGATGATTTGAAATAATGCATTTTTACTTTATATTCAACAGAGACCCACCTTAGCACCAGAACCCCTGACCTTGGGGTCATGGATTTCACAATTTTGGTAGAGGTCTCAATACTTATTACAATCATGCTAACAGTTTGACTGCTTGATGTCTAGGAGTAAAGAAGAAGATTTTCAAAGATTGCATTAATTTTGATGGTTTTAGCCCAGGACTCAGGCCCCAGAGGGGAAGGGGCCATGAATTTCACAATTTTTGTTCCTCTACACCCATAGATGGTATATGCCAAAATTGGTTGAAAATGGTTCAGCCCTTCGAGAGAAGATGCTGAAAATGTACAAATATTAACACACAAAGCAGAACAACGGACAAAAAGAGATCATAGCAATAGGTCACCTGAGTGACTCAGGTGACCTAAAAACTAACTACAGTCAAACCTTGTTATCTAGAACTTGATGGGACCGAGAAAAAACTTCGAGATATTTGAGGATTCAAGATATCAGGGGTAAAATACTTAAAGAATTAGAGTTTGGGACTTCCAAATCACTTCAACATATCCATGGTATTCTCGATATCAGTGTTCGAAGTTCAACTGTATAACAATCTACATTCTTTCTGGTTTGTACAGACACCTTCTGAGCCATGATAGTCTTGATGAAGGCTAACATCCATCAACTTCACTGAAGAGAATAAGGTACTCTTTGTAATTTGCATGGATACCTTTTGTAACTAATACTTTGGTTAAAAATTTTGCTTGTGTTGGAAAGGTATTGTCTTGCGTTATTTCAAATAAACAAATATTTTTTTTATAAAATGTAATTTATCCTGTCAAAATGTATATACACCTAAATATCTATAACATAGTAAAATACAAACAGTACAATCACTAAATCAAAAAATAATGGCATAAAAAATCTAACTATTTCTAATGTTATACATTGTATATAAGCTTTTGTTATTTTTACTGAAAATTAAAGTTTTCAGCCACTTTGATTTTGGGCTAAAAAAGGGGATAGAGGGTGTCAACATCTTTAATTCTGACCCTAACTATGAAATATGGAGTTAATGAACAGTAATCAAGGTCAAAGGTTCATTGAAACAATACAAACTGGTAGCAGAGCAAACACAGACCTCTAAAAAACATCAGAGGTGGGATCAGGTGCCATGGAGGAATAAACATCCTGTCAACCAGTCACACCCACCATGTGCTCATTGTCATGATCGAGCAAACGGAAAAATCTGTAGACAATTCAGTGTGTAAATAATGTCTAACAAGTAGTATGAAAAATGTCAGTCAGCATTCGACTTAATGTATCAACCATAGAACTTGCAAAATGATGACTTGATATTCTTGTTTCATCATAGAGTAAGAATAAGAATATGGTTAAAATAATAGTAAATACCAGACCACTCAGCCAATTTATAGGAGTCAATGGACTTAATACATTCTTTACATTATGTAGATGTTGCATGAAATGAGAGGAGCTTTAATCAAACAATCTTATTTCATTTGGATAAGTTAAAATAGTTTAAAAACTTCATAGCAAAAGATGCTGGTGAAATGTTGACTGCATGCATATACCATCGTCGCAAACCAATGCCAAATTGTACGATCCTCTCCCATTCTGCCCATGGTTGAATGAGAAGAAAATATTTCGTAGCTCATTAAAATATTGACCAATGCAAGTAAAGCATAGTTGGATAATGAACTTTGATGTGACCTTGCAATACCCAATCGCAGTATACGAAACATTTCTTGTATATACTGTTGATGTCAATTGTTGATCTCAACTGTGATGGAAACAAATATTGTCATTGGCTGAACATGACGTCACAATACAGAGGGATAAATATTCAAGATTACGACACTTTTTGTGATCAAGCAGCCACGGGTAGGAGAGAGCTATATATGCGGACAGCGGACTGTGGCTTGAGATGATATGCACATACATGATGTGCACATACATGTATATTATATAACACTATACAGTTCAACAGTCAAACCTTGTTATCTCGAACTCAATGGGACCGAGAAAAAACTTTGAGATATCCAAGGATTCCAGATATCAAGGGTAAAATACTTAAAGAAGACTTCCAAATCACTTTTACATATCCATGGTATTCGACATATCAGTGTTCGAGATACCAAAGTTCAACTGTACCTAAATTTTCAATAAATGTGATATCTATACTAATCATCTAGATCTACCTACAAAATATAACATGTAAAAAAAATTTCTATATAAACCTACAAGTAATAAAATAACCTGAGCACCCTATTCAATCTTGATGAGTATGAGAGATTTAAAGATTTTAGCACTTACACTTGAGCAATGCAAAATATTCACTTAATGAGCAATAGAAAAGAAAGTTTGAAAACAGTAAACCTTTCTCTCTCTCTCTCTCTCTCTCATATTCATTCATACAAAACAAAACTTCTGACCTGTCGCTGATTATGCAGTACTTCAATTAAAAAAAATACAGGCTTCTTTTGGTAATTCTCGTTCAGCAATGAGTACACAGAATCATTACATATTTGTTAAACTGTACATCCAATGAAATCTTAAAAATCAAGTACACATGTACTAGGAATACAGTCTAAGAGTCTTCACTGATGGATGTTTCTTAGAATGATTTGACCGATATATATGTACTGTAGAGTATTTACATGTACATACAGTTTACATCCATTACAGATAGTACATTTTATTTTTTTTTTTTTATTTGTAGATCATTGAATAAAATCATCCCTTGGAATTTGAGCCTATAAGTAAACAGCAGTTGTTAGAGATAAAATAAAATGTTCACCCTTCAACACACATATACCCCTGGTATGTACAACTTAAACATCTAAACAATAGTGCATAGGAAACAGATAATGTTGAAAATTAGGGCACTTTAAAGTCATGTAAAATCTTGCTGGTTACATCCAATCACAGACATTGAATGGGAAGACAAATCAACCAATGGGAATAAGTCAACAGGATCAACCAATGGGAAGAAAGGAGACTGATTTTTAAAAATTGCACTGATCAGTATGACCTAGACCACTGGATTTACTGGTTTTCTTGTACGTAGTATATTTTCCTCCTCTTCTGTTAATAATACTTTCATTCTTGATTCCTAGGAATTTAAAAACAAGAATTCATATAACCAATAAAAAAAGTTTACTCAAGATAGAGTTATTAGTAAATAAATCATAATATAGATTGATATATATAGTGTATGGAACTAGTACATGTTGTATGTGAGTCATTGTTTATTATCAGAGCTAGAGCACAAATACACAAACTAGCTGTTTTTTCGAATGAATTTTCAAGGAAGTTTCTTAGCAGCTGCTCTATCATTCTTGTTTCATGTTTAATGAGTATTTTTTTTTTAATTAGCAATCTTCTATTTTATAATTACGGTACACAATTTCTCCTATAAAATACCTGTTTTTAAAATAATTTACCTCATTTCGCTTAGGATTTCGGGCTGCCTGGTCCTTCAATTCATCTCTCTTGTCCTAAAAAAATCATTATGAGAATGTAACGGTAACTAAGTAAGGCTGGAACACTGCATTGCATTATTTTATTGAAAACTTAACCACAAGTGACTACAAGGTTTATCAGTTAACTTACGACTTTGTCTATGATGTAAATGCCTAAAATCCACACAGGAATAGCCAGGACCAGGACAGTCCACACGATGTTGTTCTTCATAAACAAAGCTGGAAAAATAAACAACTCACTTATGACAGAGAATGTATCATCTATATAGGTGTATGCTATTCTATAAGATAAAAGGCCCAAGGGCCCTAAAAGTCACCTGAGTATAATGCAACGTGTGATGGATTCATGAAATGGTATAGAATTAATATGTATATAGCAACAAATTATAAAATGAAACTCAAACACAAGAGAAATAAGATGATCAGGGATCAACAAAATAGTTACTCTTGTAATCAGCAACAACTCAGAAACTTGAGTGCATATGTCCAACACTATCACAAAACTAAAACTAATATGCCCAGGTCTTTAGCCTATCATGGTCTTAATGCATGATGTATATATTTTAAATATATAAGGTATTCTTCCTGTCTCACTTTTATTCATCTATTATTTACAAGTCTACCTGACTATTAAATACTATGAAAGTAAACATTACCTGGGCCTTTGTGACTGCATTCCTATTGACTCAGAAAATGATGTAATTTTCTCTTTAGTCTATGTATTATGATGTATGAATTGTGTCATTATTCCCAAATTCTGAAAATTTCTTTAAAAATGGCAGAAAGTTTTAGCTATTTTTCAATATTTTTTTACAGAGCCCAACTTTTATCCAAAATGTATAATTATATAATGAAAAATCCATTCCTGAAAATTATAAAATGTTTTAATTTTTGGATTGAGGGGTATAAGTTCATATTTTAATACATTGCTGAAGATGCTCAAAAACACCCTTTTTCAGCAAATATGTAACTAAGTCAGTGGACTAGTTACTTACCTGTCTGTAATCAACTTTGACTTACATGTAATTCTGTAAATCACATACCTACAGTTTGTAACTAAGTAAGTGGACCAGTTCCTTTTCTGTCTGTAATCAGCAGATTTTGACTAAATTCTGGAAATCACATACCTAAAGTGGTTACTAGGTCAGTGGGCCAGTTACTTGCTTGTCTGTAATACAGGTGACTTACCTATTTTGTCTATACTGAAAGACTCAATAATTGAAAATAACCTCTGCACAAGTTTGGACTGAGACTTTTTACATTTTCCCTGAAAAAATATGAAGTAGATGTAAACAAACATCAAATTTTAATATATTTAATTTTCAATAATGATTGTGAAATTGTTCCAAGCACAGCAGCTGCTATTTTAGTTCACACATTTAAATTTCAATTTGAATATGACATACAACTGTTTACAATTCTATAAAACATACAAAGACATAAAAGACACCAAAAAATGTGTGTCTGTGGGTGTGTGGAGATGTGAATACTTAAATACACCTGTTAATAAAATGTCCCGATTATTAACCTCCCTGATAGTTTTTACCTGTTTACAGAAGCCATCATAACATGGCCTCCCATCCTCCAGAAATTGATCTGATAATGGTTCACAAATCTCAGTGTTGGGCTTGTAGCAGCATGTTTTACAGGCATCATTTCCTATAGAAAACAATAATACAAGTACAGTAAAACTTTGATATCTTGAAGTCCATGGGGCCCAGAAAAAACTTTGAGCTTCATGAACTGCAGACATACTTTTTGCTGTGTTGGATTTAATTTACCGTAAGTATGCGATAACAGATTTTCCTGCAGATATTTGTCACAGCATACTTAAAGTGCATTTAAGACAGACAATGTCATGTTAGGCAATTAGCATAATTTTCTTGCTGTGGATACAGAAGTATTAGAGGGATGAGTCATTTTTATTTGTTTTAATGAAATTTGTTATATCTGATAAGTTCATAATGCATTTCATAACTAGAAGGAGTGAAAACCAACTTCACTTCAATTGTAATTGAATACATCGTAAGCATGTTTGCTGTAGCCATGTTTACTGTACTTCAATTCCAACTCTACATCACATGTACCTCGCACACTGAATAAAATCTTTTTTGTTTTGCGAGTTCAGTATTCTTACCTGTATATTACTGTACAAATTTAAACACTTTGGATGTCTCACCTTTACACAGGCATGGATTCCTGTTAACTTGCAAACAAGCATCTAAACATTTCCCATTCCTGCATTTTCCAAATCTACAATGATACAACCGTTTACATGCAACATTTTCAACTTTTCAAAAAATAACAAAATCCTCTGAAGATTAAAGGAAATTAATAATATTATTCTAAAAATAACTAAGTTCAAAATAGTTTTTGTAAAAAATAAATTCCTGTATAAATATTCACTTGAACAAAAACAAAGTGAAATTTCAGAATATCTTTAACATATTTTGAATGCTCCTAAATAAATTGTCTTCGGGGCAGTGAGGTTGTACTGTATAATCAATAAGATCTTAGCATACAGCCCGATTTCTACAACTTACCCATTACGACATTTTGTATCATCTGTCTTAGGGAAGGCCTCTGGACATGTCAGATCTACACCACTGTTATATGTTGAGGAACATTCTTACAGATAAATCATCATAAATGCAATTTCATACACAGTGTAGTACATGTTTTCTAAATGTTTTTTAACTAGATATCCAGTTCATGTTTTAAAGCTCTTAACTCTTAAAATGTTTCTTCTTAGCGACAGCTCTATGTGGATTAAGTAAACACGATTGTGTCATATTTAGCAGATTGACAAGTAAGATTGGGGGGGGGGGGGGGGGTATCTCATTTGTTGTTTGCTTTGCAGACATTCTCTTTGTGCTACACTTAGGAAAAATTATGTGTTTACCAAGTGAGCAAAAGGTCATGTGACGTACATCACGAAAAGCGAATATGGACTTAATTAGTTATCAAGTTAGTTATTAATTAATTATCTCTGAGTCAGTTACTTAGTTATCCGGTATATATACCAACATGTGAAGGATACTTGCAGTATGACTTCCCTTTACAGTCAAAGTTATCATCTACGTGATCCAGACATGTGTATCCACTCGGGGCCACTGTGCAGTTAACGCAGCAAGCAAAGTTCATAGGACTGAAAAACAAAATGATAAAAATGTATCCACGTGGGGCCACTGTACACTGTTAATGCAGCATGCAAAGTTCACAGGACTGAAAAACAAAAAGCATCATCTTAAAAAAATGATAAAGAAGAACTTCATTCTATCAAATTATGGTTTACATCTTCATGGCAAGCATGTAAAGAGAATTCCTCCTCTAGACTAGAACTTAGACTAGAACTGTCCTACTGGACTAATATCCACATAAGATCGACCAAAGAAAGGGCATACTTCTTAATAGCTTTAAAAAGAAACTCTTCCATCATGCTCAAACATAACACTGAAAATTCCCATTGCCGAAATCTTATTGAAATGTATTTGCTTGAAATATATCCATCCACAATCCTTGCATTGAAAAATCATAGTCCAAAGAATGGTCAACTTCTGAGTCACATGTGACCTTGACCTTATATAAACAACCAGGTCTAGGAATCAAGAAAGATCTCTGAATCACATGCAACCTTTATGCCAACTAGTATGACCTCTTGATGCTGCTTTTGCATTTCAAACCACTACTGAACTTTGTGACCTTGTCTAAATGACTGTTGTTCAGGGTCATGAATAAGGACAAATTTATCACATTATAAACAAATATTTTATATTCTAAATACAGTGACCTTGACTGCTGACCACTGGTCTCCAAAAACAACCTTTGTGCTTGGTTTAGTCTTTTTATTTGAAGGATCTTACTGTGCTACCCTGGAACTAATTAATTCATGGGGCCAATTTTAGTAGATTAATGGTGTGTTGGGATATGATTTCATGGGTGAATATCTCTTTATAAGACATAGCCTACAGATTAATTATCATTGAGGTTGTAAATTTGTGGGTATGGAGTATCCTTGAAATCCACAAAGCTTGAACCTTCTGTTTGACTCCTAGATATAATGACTACACATAATGTGAAATCTCTCAGAATACTGATCTTACTTTACATGCAACTGCTAAATCCATTTTTCATACTACTGGTAATTTTGTTAAAAATGAAATTAAACTTAACACGAGACGTTCTTCCAACTTCTACATAAATTGGTTGATGTCATCATTTCAAATCTTTTCAGGAATATTTATGTACACTCATAAGCAATGTACTGATTAAAAGAATGTAGTAAACAAACACCCAAAAAATCTTGCATGGTGGAGAAGAGGTCACCTTTTTCTTTTTCATGAGATACTAACTTTATTGCTTAGACAAAGTTTTACAAAGGATGTTACCTGCATTTCATTGTCTTGAGCCTAAACTGACACTTGTCATTACAGCACTTGTCCCCTGTGTAACCCGCATCACAGTCCTCGTTTTTGTCGACTCGTCCATTTCCACATAACCCTTGACCTGTTGCTGATGCCTCTGTTAAAAATATCAAGAAATAAGTCTCCCATGAAGAAGTGTATAAAGTGTTTTCTTCTAGTATTTTTATTTTGACAACATTTACTTTTAAAACAAATATTAAAAAAAAGTTTTAACATTTGTTAATATTTAATTTATCATATATTAAAGTAAAATATTAGTAAAACACAAACACACAAACCAAAAGGCCTTGCTAGTAACAGCAGTGCTCTTCTTGGTACCAATTTACACAATATTCATTCTAAATATCTGCTCATCTCAACATCATGATTCACATAAATTCAGATGCTAGAAAGAATCATGAAACAAGCTAATTCAGGGAATTTATGTCCCTGCTTTAGATTAAAATAAAAGGATGGGAAAAAAAATGGAAAAACCTAAAATAAAATTATGAAGGAAAAAGAAAAAGAAGGAATGGCCTTGATTTTCACCTTTTGACCTTTAAATCAATAGGGGTCTTTCTTCAGCTAGAGAGATTCATCACCTAAAGTTTCATTTCTTATGCTCAAAGAAAACTTAACATCTGAAAACTACTTTATCCAAGGCATTGTATATATGAATATTTTTGCCCTTTAACTTTGGCCTATTGACCTCAAAATCAATAGGGGTCTTGTGTTAGTCATAGGGAGCTATGACATAAAATTTCACTTTAAAAGGTTACAGAGATATACAGATATCTTCTGGAAACCATTTCATGCAATATATGAATATTGAACTTTTGACTTAAAAATTAGTGAGGGTCTTCTTTTAGGTAATAGGGAGTTATGATATAATATTTCAATGTACAAGCCATTAAGGATTTTTTTTTAGCTATTATCCAGAATCTTTAGTGTAACAGACAGTAGTGGTGTTCCATTCATCGATTATAATCGAAAATCAGTCAATTGCTGGCATAATTCAAGCGCTCGATTACAAAATTTTTATTCTGATTAATCAGTTTATTATATTTTTTATCAAGCATAATAGTTTTTAAGCTAAATATTCCAGCTGCAACTTATCTATTAACTTATTTGGGTATCGTAATGGCCAGACAAACAGAATTGTATCCATACCTGGGTAACAAAGCACGTTCCCGGGTATAGATGTACATTTTATATCTGTACAGTGTATGAAGAAAAATTAAAGAAAAACAGATACACTCTCAATAAAACAGTCAGATGATATCCATTTATTCTTATTCAGCAAAATAAACAACAAATACATATGCAGAAAGTAGTCAATTACCCATTCTTACCATTTAATTAACTAAATTGATAGACTTTGTAAATGTCTGATTATAATTGATAATTAGTTACATAGAGTAACCCGATCATCGATTATGAAATTCTTACCGATTCCCATCACTAACAGACAAACTGACAGACAGATGGCTGGACTCAATATCAGCAAAAGCAGCGTACAACAAGGGGTCTTAAGTTTAACAAATTAGAACAAGAGGCCCAAGGGCCTTAACAGTCACCTGAGTATAATGCAACAATTTAGAGGATCCATAGAGTATACAATGAACTGAAAGGTGAAGCTTTGTTGCCCAAAAGCAAGAAAAATAGGGTGATCAGGATCAACAAAATAATTAGTCTAGTATTCATTAACAGTTCATAAATTAGATTCTAATCTGTTCCCCATTTATCACCATCACCATACAGTACATTAACAGACTATCAGTGCTTCCGTACCATTTTAATTCCTACTTGAGATCTCTTACATTGGCCTCTCTTGGTCTTTGGTGAACATTTAAAAAGACAAGTTATTTTTGTCTCATTTTTATTTATCTATTACTTACAAGTCTACCTGATCATTAAAACTATGAAAGTACTTTTTGTATTATACAATAAAAATTCTTGCATAATTTTCTTATTCTATTAATCTTTTAAGTACATTATTTACAGTGATTAATTATCAAAAGTAAATGGCAAAGGGGAATAACTCCTCTCAGTAGACTACATATTAATATATGCCAGGACCAGAACACTTGACCAAATGGTTCAGATGTTCAAAAATCTAGTAAAAATACTCTTCCTTATTAAAACTTTTACTCTTTTTGCCCCTGATATGCCCAGGTGCAGAGAAGATTTTTAAAGAAATAATGCATTTTTATTACAGATTCACTATATTATCAATAGAGCCCCCCCTCCCCTCTTCCCCAGCAAGAAACACCAGAGCCTCTCACCCTGGGACCAGAAGATTGCCCATCATAAGTAATCACTTTGTTTATCTGCTTAACACTAAGAGCAGACAGGATTATTTAATAGAATTAATGCATTTTCACTTTATTATCAAGAGCCCCACACAAACCAGCACATCTGACCCAGGGGTCATGCAATTCACTACTCTGGAAGAAGCACTCTTGCTCATCATAACTATACACTTAGCTTCTTTGCTTTTTAACCAGGAGCAGAAAAGAATATTTTCAAAGAAATGTTGCTTTTTCACTATATAATCAATAGAGCATCCCCCCCCCCCCTTTTCACCAGAACCCTTGACCCTGGGGCCATGAAATTCACAATTTTTGAAGAGGCATCCTTGCGTATCATAACAATGTGCTTAATTTGTTAAAATAATACCCAGGGGCGGAGAAGAAGATTATCAAAGAAATAATTCACCTTCACTATAGGATCAATATAGCCCCACCCTAACACCAGAACCCCTTATCCTCGGGCCATGAATTTAATAATTTTGGAAGAGGCATCCTTGCTCATCATAACAATGTACTTAGTTTGTTTAAATAATACCCAGGAGCAGAGAAGAAGATTTTTAAACGTAAATGCATTTTCACTCTATAATAAATAGAGCCCCGCCCTAACACCAGAACCCCTGATCCAGGGGCCATGAAATTCTTAATTTTGGAAGAGGCGTCCTTGCTTATCATAACTATGTATTTAATTTGTTTAAATAATACCCAAGAGTAGAGAAGAAAATTTTCAAAGAAATAATGCACTTTCACTATAAGATCTATATAGCCCCACCCTAGCACCAGAACCCTTGATCCTGGGGCTATGAATTTCACAATTTTGAAAGAGGCACTCTTGCTTATCATAACTATGTATTTAATTTGTTTAAATAATAGCCAGGAGTAGAGAAGAAGATTTTCAAAGAAATAATGCACTTTCACTATATGATCTATATAGCCCCACCCTAGCACCAGAACCCCTGACCCTGGGGCCATGAATTTCACAATTTTGGTAGAGGGCTCAATGCTTATTACAATCATGCCAACAGTTTGACTGCTTGATGTCCAGGAGTAAAGAAGAAGATTTTTAAAGATAGTACTAATTTTGATGGTTTTAGTCCCACCCCTCAGGCCCCAGGGGGACAGGGACCATGAAATTCACAATTTTTGTACTCCTTCACCCATTGATGCTATATGCCAAAATTGGTTGAAATTGGTTCAGTGGTTCAAGAGAAGAAGCTGAAAATGTTCAAAAGTTTACGACTGACGGACGATGGACGACAACGGACGAAAACAGATAGCAATAGGTCAACTGAGTGACTCAGGTGACCTAAAAAAAAACACATGTACAATTTTTAATGACAGAGCATTTCTTAATTCCTCATCAGATTTTAAATAGCCCAATCCAATTTTTTTGTGTCACCTGCAGAGCAGAGCTACACTTGGGATCCTGGTTTCTGTCTGTTTGTCTATCTGCCATGCATTTTATCTTGAGAACTATAAGAGGTATTGGTCATGTACATCTATTGCTTGGCATTATGGCATTTGTAAATACCTGGGTGGCATCTCAATATGAGTGAAAAATTCTATAAGGGGTGTTTTCACAAGAGGCCCATGGGCCACATCACTCACCTGAGTAACTATGGCCATGTTGTTCTTTACCAGATCCCCCCCCCCCTTGCAATACCTATTGTGGCCCCACCCTACCCCCGGGGGTCATGATTTGAAGAATTTAGAATCTTCACTACCCGAGCAGGCTTCCACATAAGTTTCAGCTTTTCTGGCCCAATGGTTCTTGAGAAGAAGTTTTTAAAAGATTTTTCCTATATATTTCAATGTAAAACTTGGATCCCCTATTATGGCCCCGCCCTACCCCCGGGGGTCATGATTTTAACAATTTAGAAGCTACACTACCCCAGGATGCTTCCACATAAGTTTCAGCTTTTCTGACCCAGTGGTTCTTAAGAAGAAGTTTTTTAAAGATTTTTCCTATATATTTCAATGTAAAACCTGGATCTCCTATTGTGGCCCAACCCTACCCCTGGGGGTCATGATTTGAACAATTTAGAATCTTCACTACCCGAGCAGGCTTCCACATAAGTTTCAACTTTTCTGGCCCAGTGGTTCTTGAGAAGAAGTTTTTTAAAAATTTTTCCAATATATTTCAATGTAAAACTTAGATCCCCTATTGTGGCCCTGCCCTACCCCGGGGGTCATGATTTTAACAATTTAGAATCTACACTATCCCAGGATGCTTCCACATAAGTTTCAGCTTTCTTGGCCCAGTGGTTCTTGAGAAGAAGATTTTTTAATGACCCCACCCTATTTTTGTCTTTTCTTGTTTATCTCCCCTTATAAGGGGACTTGACAATTTAAACTCCCCTTTACCCAAGAATACTTTGTACCAAGTTTGATTAAAATTGGCCCGGTGGTTCTTGAGAAGAAGTTGAAAATGTGAAAAGTTTACAGACGGACGGACGGACGGACAGACAGACAGATGGACGGACAGACGGACGGAAGACAGACAACAGGTGATCAGAAAAGCTCACTTGAGCTTTCAGCTCAGGTGAGCTAAAAACAGCAAACCATTTCCTTAGGAGGCTGCACAAGCATTCCACATATGGAACACAAGTTCTATGAAACATGTTTCTTCACTTAAACATTTAGAAGATTTTAGAGTATTCCAGATAATAATGGTCAAACTTTAAATAAAAAAAAATCTCAATTGAGTCTTTTGCCTAAGATGAGCTAAAGCATCTAACAAAATCTGTGTATCTAATTCTTATCTAGGTTTAGATGGTTAATTATCATTATTTGTGATCTATATATTCAGATATTTCGTGTGGATTATCACATGCAGAAAATAAACTTCATGTTTAATTACTGATATTTGAATAGAATTCTAATTTAGGTTGAAACATACATGTAACAGGTGTATTTTGGTATAAAAGAAGGCTCAGGAAAAGTTGTCAGTGGATACTACTATAAATCAAATAGAAGATATTCAGATGAAGAGGTATTGGTACATGTAAGCATATATGTAATAAGGTAGAGGATTCAAAATAGTACGTGTTTTTTGATTAATATTGTTGACTTAATTAACATCATTTGCTTGGAGCAACTGATTGATCAATCAGTAATTTTTTTCTACATCCATCTGTATCATTGAATTTCAAATCTTTTGAAATAGAGTAGATGCAATTTATTAGACCCTTGAGAATTTTCATATAAACATTTTACATATTAAATTCCTCCATGACTGAGAGAAATAAAAATATGGTATTTTATGACAAGCATAGAGAAAAAGTTTGTAAATTTTATTTTTACCCCTGTTTATATATTTACAAGATTTTGTGTTAATGCATAATTACAACGGAAGAGAATTGTAATCTCATTTTCTTATGCACAATTTCAAAATACTTCAATACAAAACATTAAGGTAATGGAAATAAGTCCTCATGTACATCGGTCTTATGTTAACTTACATGTATTCAATTTAATAAAAGTATGTGATAACCCAAACCAAAAATCAGATACTTCTGCAATAGTACTTCATTCCAATGCCAGTACCTTTACAAGAAACACATGCATGTAGAAGAATTGAAGCTAAAGTGTTTGGTGTCCAGCAGTGTATATATAAGCATATATTCACTATAATACATATAGCTGTTCAAAATTAAATAAACAAGGGGGAAAAAGAGAAACAAAACTTACCAGAGGACTCTGGTTTATTAAAGGATATGAAAATTATACTTATAATATTGCTTTTAACTTAATTATATTTTTATTTTTATTAACAATGAAAGGCACAAAAACCTATCTTCAATATCACAGAAATAAAATATTTGGAGCCTTCAACATAAATTTCTAATAAAGACAACTACTAGTAATTCGAATATTAGGCAAATATTCTTTGGATTTTGATAAACTTCATTTTAAAGAAAAAATATCTACTGTCAAGGATCTCTTTTTTATCATCATTTTCCCCCACAAATGAATCTTATCAACTTAAACCATATTACAGTCTATTTTGACTAGATTTACAGCAGTATAATCTTTCAAAAGTTGCCATTTCAGTCTGATCTTGGATACTTAAGGAATCACTGTCTAGTTAGTAGAGTATGCCAGGGCATCAACGATAGTTGGAAACGTGGGATAATTTGCATAACGGGCGAAGCCCATTATGCATAAATTATCCCACGTTCCCAACTATCATTGATGTCCCTGGCATACTCTACTAACTAGACAGTGATTCCTTATATTTCCATTTCATTGTGAAATAAAATTGTAAATTTAGATTTTAACAAGAGGCCCATGGGCCACATCACTCACCTGAGCACATTGGCTTGGCAAAAGCACAATTCAGTTCAGTTTTGAAAAGATTACTGGGGGGGGGGGGGGGGGCTTGAATTTTAAACTACCTGATGATGCTTCCATGTCAATATAACATGGCTTTGTTGTACTTGAGAAGATTTTTAAAAAAAAAATTATATATATTCCTTTGTAAAAATTTGATCCCCCATTGTGGCTTCTCCCTATCCCAGGGGTCATCATTTGAACAAACTTGAATCTACACTACCTGAGGATGCTTCCATATCAATATGACTAAACATAGCTTTTCTGCTCTTGAAAAGAAATATTTTTCCTATATGTTCTTATGTAAAATTTTTGATCCTGCATTGTGGCCCCTCCCTATCCCCGGGGGTCATCAATTTAACAAATTTGAATCTACACTACCTAAGGATGCTTCCATATCAAAATGACTAAACAAGGCTTTGCTGTACTTCAGAAGAAGATATTTTCTTATATATTTCTATTTAAGACTTTGATCCTCCATTGTAGCCCCACCCTACCCCGGGGGTCAAGATTTGAATAAATTTGAATCTACACTACCTGAGGATGCTTCCATATAAATATGACTAATCAGGGCTTTGCTGTTTCTGAGAAGAAGATTTTTAAAGGTTTTTCCTATATACTTCTATGTAAAACTTTGATAGTCCATTGTGGCCCTGCCCTACCCCTGGGGGTCATGATTTGAACAAACTTGAATCTACACTACCTGAGGATGCTTCCATATAAATATGACTCATCATGGCTTTGCTGTTCATGAGAAGAAGATTTTTAAAGTTTTTTCCTATGTAAAACTTTGATCCTCCATTGTGGCCCCACCCTACCCCTGTGGGTCATGATCTGAACAAATTTGAATCTACACTACCTGAGGATGCTTCCTTATAAATATGACTCATAATGGCTTTGCTGTTCTTGAGAAGAAGATTTCTAAAGATTTTTCCTATATATTTCTATGTAAAACTTTGATCCTCTATTGTGGCCCCGCCCTACCCTCGGGGGTCATGATTTGAACAAACTTGAATCTACACTACCACAGGATGCTTCCACATGAGTTTCATCTTTCCTGGCCCTGTGGTTTTTGAGAAGGAGATTTTTAAAAGATGCTATTAATTTTTCACTAATTCTTTATTATCTCCCCTTGAAAGAGGGCGTGGCCCTTCATTTGAACAAACTTGAATCCCCTTCACCCAAGGATACTTTGTGGCAAGTTTGGTTGAAATTGGCCCAGTAGTTCTGGAGAAGAAGATGAAATTGTGAAAAGTTTACAACGACGCCGACGACAACGACAGATATATTATAGGCCTCCTTAGAGTCAGACAAAAACAGCCGCACGAGAATTACATGCATATTAGGTCTTCTTAGCTCCTGACCTTTCGCGTGGCAAAATTTGCATTCCGGTGGAATGATCAAGAAATCAACTCTCCTAACTTTCAAAGAGTTATCACAGAGAAAACAAATAGAAATGGAAATATATAACAGCACATTTCACTATACATGATAGTGTTTTAAGGTCGTACGCAACATTCATGTAACATTGTAACCTTACAATGTACCTAACCTACTGATAAAATTTCAAGATATTCTTGATTTTCAATCATAGTACCATCAGATGTTCTTATAAACAAAAAAAAATCAGCATTCATTACCAGGGTTTTTGAACACGATATCAAATGATGAAACCCATTGTATTTTTTAAAGAAAAATTAATGAAAGCATTGCTTTAGTTGGTATTTTCTCAAAATTTGATTTAGAAGAGATGAATAGCATCATAAGCATTAAATAAAGTTGCACAAAGGTCCTTCAATTATTGGAACTTTTCAATTATATAGGGAATAAGTAAATAAAGTTTAAAACTACATTGCGTACATCCTTAAGTAAAATTTTCCACAAATTCCAAAATAACAAACCAATGCTCACTTTATATATTCATATGATATTGTAGGTAGGACACACACACATTTTAGCCCACTTGCAAGTTGAGTGCAATCATCTTATAGTCACAAGAATAACTGATGAACAGTGTAACAAATCTAAATTATGACAGTGCTGGCCTCTTACCTTTAAAACAGTTGTAGCCTTTTGTCTTGATGACATTGAATATATACTGTCTGCTGCAGGGGGAAAAGAACTAAAAGACAAACATTATACACTTATTTACTGGCTATAAGGACAAGAGCAAATTTATTGTCCTACAATCAGAAACTATTTTCCAAGACACAGTCAATGGAAATAGTTGCTGTTTCGAAGACAATAAATTTGCTATTGGGCGAATAGTAAGTAAATAGGTGTTTTATAATACAGATTGAAGCAGACTTTTCATCTGGATAAAACCAGTAAAGTTCTGAGATGAAAAGTGAAGGAAATTAAATGCTGCTGGTGAATAGTTTCGATGACTATTTCATGATGGGCAAATAGCATAAGAACTATTTCAAGGTAAAGGCTTATATTTAATAAAAATAGGTTTATTCATTGGCTTTCCTGTCTTGGGAAATAGTTTCCTCCCTAGAGGAACCATAATTTGCAATTTCCCTCATACCCATTCCGTAACTGTATATAATCTGTAAAATTTTCAATGTACCCTTAGTAAGAAACAGGCTTCAATCAAAGTACCAAAAGTACTCACCCTTAGTAAGAAACAGGCTTCAATCAAAGTACCAAAAGTACTCAAACCAGGCTGAAATTTATTGTCTAGTGATGGGAAATTGGAATTTTTTTCATAATCAATTATCGAAATAATCAGATGCACTATAATTGATTAATAATTGATTGATTTTTTCAAGTATTAAATTTGTTCATTTTTGATAGAAAAATACACATGTAGATTGGTAAAAAATTCTGGAGTGATTTCTAGGATACATTTTTGATATATTTTGTATCATTGGATTCATTTATTCGATTATTATTTAGGATTTAGTTGAATTCAAAGAGGAATGAATAAAAAATCAAAGGAATAATTTGCTTTTAACTAAAATTTTGGTCAATCGATTATCAAAAGTATAATTGATTATCTAAAATCGGAGGCCATTTTGATTAGATAATCGATTTAATTGATTAATCGGTACATCAATATTATTGTCAAAACAAGTCCCATTCTACACAGATCATCCAAATATCAGTTTTTTTTCACAACTGTTTGTGGGATTTATGATTACCATATGATTTACGTGTTAAATCACCATTAGTCCAGACTCACCTGATTATTTTTCTCGTACCCTGAGACTGCAGAGGGATACATGATGAACCGTCCCCCCGATGAGGAGGATGGGGCACATGAGTCAGTATCCGGGTCATGTTCACTCCCCCAGTTATGACCTAAACATAGTCAGAAACATGGGAACACCTCTGATGCCTAGTCACAGTTATATACAGTCAAACTTTGTTATCTTGAACTCCATGGGAACGGGAAAACACTTCGAGATATCCAAGGGTTCGAGATATTGAGGGTAAAATACTTAAGAAATATGTGGATAGGACTTATACCAATCACTTCAACATATCCATGGTGTTCAAGATACCCGTATTAGAGATACTGAAGTTCAACTGTAATTTAAAGCAATTCAGAAAACTTAATTAAACTTTAAAATGTGCACTAAGAATCTTTATGTTAATGAATTTCTTAAATTAAGAAAAAAATCAAATCTATTCATTTTGAAGAAATGATAGAAAGTCAATCTACTTACCCAACTCTGAAAAATCAAAAAAAAAAAAAACAAATTAATGGTGGCTATAAGCAATAACAATTGTATTTTAGCACATTTTTGTGCTGCTTCTAGTCCATGCTAATTAACATATAATTTAAAACATATATTATAAAAGCTTGCAAATGACTCCAGGTGAGATAATTTATTATAATGTCTATGAGTTGATCAAGACAAGTTTGTGGTAAATTTTTGGGTGTGCTTATTTATGTACATTGGCAATACCTAAACCCTGAGAAGCAATTGTATGTATATAGAACTGTCATTAATTAAGAATTGTATGTATCCATAACTTGTGAATTCAAACCAAAGCAGAGCTATAAACGATTTTTATTCTAAAATCAAAACTCACTGGTATTAAATAACATCACATATACAGGGTAAAAAATTGAATATCATACAAGAAAGAATACCATAAATTATCAATAAATCAAATCCCTGAAAAAACGTTAAACTGACCATGTGCTGTGGTGATGGTTGCCTGATGAACGAGAGCTTGACTTCCGTCAGGGTTTCTGTACGTACTCAGGCCAGTGTTGGCAGCCATTCTCCTATTGTCCTTCCAAGCCACTGTGGAAAAACAATGTTGCTGTTATACTTTGTAAATAGCTGATGAATTCTACGAGAGGTTCACAAATGTTAATAACAAAATAGAGAAAAAACCAGGCAAAAAAACACACTGATGATCAAATAAAATTACAACAAAATTTCTAATGATTTTAAAAGCAAAATTCAAAATGACTCTAATGCATGACAAATTAACAATGAAGTTTAAGTATGAATGAAGAGAGGCACTCTCTGTAAGAACATTGAAAATGGATTTATTTAACATCAAGCCATGCCTAATTGATTTCATATTGAGAATGACATGCATCTTGTGAAATTTATATTGATTTCAGTGATAAAAAGAGGCAGAATTTACAAAAGGTATCATGATCAGTTTAATTGATCGTAACCACTACTTAAACAAGTTTGAACTTATCATAAAGAAATAACTCTAGACAACAAGACACTATGTGGGAAATCTTTTGGATAAAGGTCTACAAAACTAATGCCCAGAAAGATTTTTTATGAAAAGGTAGGACTTTGATGTCTTTAAGGTGTAACATAACCTCAGTGTTCATGATAGGACGAATTAAAATCACAATAGATCTGTTGATTTATACCATAGATTTCATTTCTGAAGATCCAATTGCTTGACTGTCTGAAGATGGGGTCACAGAATTATGGCACGAAAGAATTTGCAACATATGGTGATGTTCTCCTAAAAATATCTAAGATGGATAGGGAAGTGGGGTGGGGGTGGGGGGTAAGAAAGAAGATACTGTCAGCCAAACATGAAAAGTGATTACTGATGATGCACAACAACCAACTATTAGGATCAAGTCACTTGTTAGTAAAATTGTCACTCCACTGTCTCATATCATCATGCTGTGGCCCAGTAGGATTTACTGGCAGAAAATAATTTTATCCACCATTACAGTAAGATTACATGCATAAATCAGTGAACATTTGCTCATTGATATACAAAGTATGTGTATATTATTATTGTTTCCTTTGTTTTGTTTTTCAAGCAAGTATACCAGATGTCCCATTTCATGCTTTTGAGGAACATGTGTGACATGTAAGTGTGCATTGTATTTTCATTTTTTCTCTTTGAAATCTCATTGCTAGACTAAATGCATCACAAAAAGTGAATGAGAAAGAGACAATTTCAAGCATTGTATCACTGAAGGAGTTGTACAGTACATGTAATTTCAGAAGTATGTAAGTACACGGTTATAATATGGATGAAAATTTTTCAACCTCCATCCAAAACATTCCGAGTTAAAACACTGAATACCATGGAGTGAAGCAGGCAGTATAAGGGGAGGTAAATTTTCTTACCTTTGTCTGAATTTAATCAAAACTGGGACACACAGGTAAATTACATTATACTTTTAATGTATAAGCTACTCAAACTAATAGCAAGTACTTATATAAAGTAAATGAATCTACTTTTTCTTTGCTTATATTTTCCAATCCACTACTATGTGTTTTTATTTTGTTTACACTTCTAAACAGCTGAAATGATTGAAAAGCTTTAAAGCATAAAATTAAATTATTTATAACTAAAGCTGTAATCATTCATTTAAACTGCATGAAGATAAGAATATTCAAAATTTAATTAAGATTTCAAAAAAATTAATACTGATAAATGCTCAAAATCAAATGATACAAATCAAGAACATTATAAATACATGCAACCAAAATCTTTTTTCTGTCAAAATTTAATTTGTAAAGCCGATGTTCTGAACCAAACCTGTATTGTCTGATCTTACCTGGTGAACACATTCCTCCCAGGTCATTGACCCTTCGGGATGCGATGTAGGCTAGCCCCAGCTTCCCCGGGAATGACTGATAGGTAAACAGATGAGCTAAGCAGTAGGAAGAATGCTTCTTGTCCTCCCAACCAAACATCTGTATAACAAAAACAACATGCTCATAGAACACAATGCTTACCTGTTAATTATTTTTCACTTAAATTAAGCCTTTATATTGTTTTACAATCACTTCAGGAAAATGTGTGCGAAGTTTGTATATATATACATGCACACAAGTCATGTATAATGTACTTTCTTTGTGCCCCATGAGGGTAAATAAAACAAATTGAATTGAATTTTTTGAGAAGGAAAAAAGTGCTACAGAATATTAAAATACAAACACAAAGTAGAGTTAAACTTTCACATTTAGTTTATATAAACAAAAACAAAAGGATCTTTTGAAGTCTCTTTTAACAGGTAAACTACATGTTGTATAACCAATTCCAATTACATGTTCTCAGTTGAGTTTTTGGTGGTTGTAATGTTATTCTCTTTCTAACCAGTGATCTACTTACATCTAGCACCAATCCCATGTCCTGGGGTCGATTCTCCATGTTGTAGTGTAAAACATTAGGGGGAACAATTGTGTAGGAGTCATGGACAACCAGCTGTAACCATAGCAACCAATTACCGATTCACAAGTCATATCCTTCTCATAGTTTAGCATTTTGTATTCTAGTCAAATTTATTTTATTTTACTGTATTATATCAGTCTCTATGTTAACTTCTTTAATGCACAAAAAATTATTTTAATCTCTGATCTGCTGGCAAATCAGAAAGCACATCCAACAGCAGATTAAGAATTAAAAACAAAATGTCAAGTTCAGAGTGTATGAAAACATTTCACCTCCGCAATTTCAAATCCCAGATTCCTGATGTTGGAGTTGAAATCTGGCCACACCGTATCCTTGTAGATGGCATTGACTCTTCCAATGATTCCAATCTACAATATACACAATAGTTGTACCTCAGTGGCTCGAACATAATGGGGACATTGATCAATTTTAAGATTTTTAAGTTTTGGAAACTGGGTTTAATAACAGGATCAGGACTGTCAACTTACTTGTACTTTGACATTTCCTGCATATTTGACATATAAATTTTCAAGAAATAAACGTTTAACTATAAATATTCAAATATCACAAGTACACATACTTCATTTAGCTTTCATTGTAATAATAAAATTAAACCATTATACATGTACTGGTTTGCAACCAATGTAAAAATACAAAGATTAAAACTTTTTACAGAACCATATTAAAAGCTGGTCTGAAGATGTTCGACTGTTAAAAATACATAAAATACCTACAATGTATTCTCCTGTTGTTCTCCTGTTCCTTTGACCTAGATTTATGTAGAAGTAGTAATCTGCCACGACTATTAACCGACAAACTGTGTGAGTCCCCACATAGGACATAGTCTGACGCTTTCTTCTCAAAGGACCTGAAGAAACAGAATACAGAAAATTCGAATCTGGAATAAATTCCATGCACCTGAAGTGCATTAGGCAAAAAACATAAAAGAAACAAATTCATGCATATATTACATGTATATTGCACATATTACATAATATATACATGCATATAACAATCATGCTATTGTGTATCACCTGCAGGAGTTGGTTCCCAAAAAGTAAACATATGACCTGGGGATATAGATTTTATTATTTACTACATATAATTCCCTGGCATGTTTCTAGTGCATCCTGCACATGCAATCTGTAATTTTCATTCAACATAATAAACAGGAATTCCTGACAATTAATTCGCTACACTTTAACATCAATAAGGACAAAGGTCTCACTGCTGAAAGGTAATGAGCCTTAACATATATCAGTTTATTTTATGTAAAAAATATATATGTTTATTATAGATTAATTAAAAGATTAACTAAACACTTTCAATTAAAGTCTTTCCAGAGTAAATTCGTATTTCATTATTGCTCACTTGCTGTGTCTTCGTACAAGGGAAAAAGTCGTAAACCATCTTCCATATTTTCAGCTCTAGTAAGAGTTGTCCCCCTTGTCGCATTACACAGGGATTCCCTGTTTTGATAAATATACAACATATACAATAATTGTATAATTTCCTTACAGGTGCTTTTAATCTTTAGCTTTCTATATCCTTTAAATTGTGTTTTCAAATGATTTAAAAACCAAGATTTACACATTATACATTTGACCATCAAAGGACCTATCACATTGATACATGTGCTGCAATAGTTTACCGTTTATCTTTGGTGTTTGATGTCTCATTGTGAAATATTTTCAAGAAATGATTGATTGAAGGAATGTCTGTCTGTTCATTTGTTTAACTGTCTGCCCAACTGTATGTCTGTGTTTTTATGTGTTCTTGTATGTCCATGTACCTTACCTGACCCCCATGGTAAAATCCTCTGGCTTCTATTTCATATCTGATTGTCTGTTTGTATGTCTGTGTGTCCATCTGTCTGTCTGTCTCAAGGTCTGTGTTTTAGTGGGCCCCTCTACACCTCTGTACCTTACCTGACTCCCATGGTAGAATCCTCTGGCTTCCATTTCATATCTGATTGTCTGTACGCTATCATAGAGTCATTGGATGGTCCAGATGCATGCCTCCACAATGGCTTAAAACACAGAACAAAGATGAAAGTGAGAGTCACAATAAAACATTCTTTATCATATATTTGTTGTGGGAAATCTATGGATCCATATATGTGGTACATGTTGTTCATAATGCATCTCATGCATTCAAATTCTGCAAATTCACTTTGAAAGTTTTAAATATAAATAAAATTTGTACCGTATAGGGGGTTTTCTTGGCGGGTGTAAAAATGTGGCGTTTTGGTTGGCTAAAGGTATGCCAATAATTTTGGCGTAATTTATTTTCCCGGGCACAGGGTTTCAATTCTTTGCAAAATAACACCAAGTAGAACACTGAATGTTTTTAAAAATTTAAGTGGACCACTACTAAAATGCCAAAATAAACCAAAATTAACACACCGCTAAAATAACCTGCTATACGGTATATTATCACATCATATTATGGTTGACTTACTTCAAAGAAGTATTTCTCCTCTTTTGTGTTGACACTGATGATCGCAAGATCGTTTTCCCATTGTAGGTGAACAGTAGAACCAGGGTCTGATTTAGACGTTCCCTCGAAAAAGATGTCCGTATTAACAGAAAACTCTGAGGTACTACCATCCTTGTGGATCATAGAGGCTTTAAAATCACTGGATATTGGAACAGATGACTTCAAAAGCAGGTGAAATTTTCTAAAAATAAAATATAGCCAATTTAATTAATTAATATGGATGTAATTAAACAGAATTATGACAAACAAGAGGGCCCATGCTCACCTGAGTCACTGTGGCCTTGTTATCTCCATCTATACATGTAAAAATTTGATCTACTATAATGACCCAACCCCACTTCAGGGGTCATGATTTGAACAAACTTGAATCTAAACTTTTCAGGTTGCAACTTACTCCGGTAAGTAATATATGAGCTTCTAGAGGTTTGTTAAGTAAAGTAAATTGATTTGAAGGGAAGAACTTTGTGTCCAATGTACAGATGAAGTTAGGTTTTTTGAACAAGTCAGAAATGTGAAAGGTTAAGACTGACAGACAACTAGACAGATGAATACATAGGAGTATTAAAAGTCATGCAGCCAAAAATTTACAACATGCCTTTCTTAAATTCATGAATTATACCCTCAAAATTGATTTAAGACAACTTTCCTTTTTTACTCAAATGTTAACATGTCATTATTTTTAAAAGAACAATTTGTATAAATACATGTATTATCATGTGAATGCATATTTTGAAATATAAAAGAACAAATGTATAAGTGCATGTACAAGTACAAGTATTAACATGTGCTAAGTACATGCAAGTACCTGTATATTGTCTTATTACTGTATACAGTGAAATGTTTGCCCCTAGCTGTTTTACTTTCATCCCTCTTGCCCTCATAGCTAGTGGGCAAATTTAAAACAGGGCGAATTCAAATAAGACAGTGCTCATTATCTTAACACAACTATGCCTGGGTGAATTTAAAACAAGACAAGGTCGTTTGCAAGTGTCAACATGGTCAAGGGGGAAAAATAAATAATAATCCTGTTAACAGTATCATTGACAATGGGCACAATTTAAACTTGATTATATAACTGTTTAAAAAAAAATTCAATTTCTATTGTGAATAATGATTGAATTGACTTTTGTAGCCCTTGATTGGTCAGTAATTAAAATACCTTCCAAAACTTTTAAACCACACTTCATGGATGGCTGCTTGTGGCCGTGGATCCACACTTCGACGAACTCTTCGATTTATGTCAGATTTCTTCAAAAATTCATAGTATGTCAAATCTTCTATTCCTATAAAAAAAAAAAGCACCTCAGATGACAATTGCTTTAAAGAAAAAAAAATTAATAATCGCGTATTGAAAGCTAGGTCACATTAAAGGTTATTTTCCAACTATGCTTTACTTGTATTGGTCAATATTTTAATGAGTTATGAATTAATCTCTTTACACTATAGGTCATTATTTTAATGAGCTTTGAAATATTCTTTTTACTTGCATTGATCAATTACATATATTTTAATTACCCAGTTGCTACAAAATATTTTCCTCATTCAACCACCCCAGATTATGGGTGAGGATTGAGATGATACAACTTTTGGTATAAACAAGTTTTTCTGTAACCACACTGTTTGGGATATTGATCCCTCACTGTAGAACAAACACTTCTTGGGGATTAATCTCACATAGAAAATTTGTTGCATTTATAGTTTGTACATGTATACAGTATTTCAAATAAAAATTTGTCATTTTTTGAACTGTAAATCTATATCTCATTGGGTCGAAAACAGGCTATTATAACCCATTAAGACATTTGGCTTGTTGTTGAACATGTACATGATGTATATATCAAGCACAGTCCATGATTTCTATTTCAGTATTTGTGATATTCTTAATATATACCATCTTCACTTAGAAACATAATTAAGAAATAAATAACAAGTTTAAAAACTTCTCTGGGAAATGAAGTGGGTCGGTCACGTGATCAAATCCTGTGAAGGCCAAAGGCCTTCTCAGAAGATTTGATCACGTACCGACCCACTTCATTTCCCAGTGAAGTTTTTAAACTTGTTATTTATTACTTATATATACATTTGAGACGGACAATCGAATATAAATATTGCACTAACTGTTCGTCGTAGATTTTGACAAATTACGCAAGGTGTAAATCGGCTTGAAAAGCGGTTGCGCTTCAAATTCATCTGGCAAAGGATGCTGTTTTGAAGGGAATATTCTGTGAAAGGCTACTTGTGATCAATTATAGTGAGCATATTGGTGTCTGGGAATTTTTGTATTTGTGAGAACCCATATTGTGTGTTAAAAAAACCACAAGAAACACGTCCTATGTTTGATAATAAAAAGTTGGAGGAATTTCGGTCGGAAAGGGATGGATGGAGACACTTGTCCAGACCAGTTAACTTGGAATCAAGTTTAAAATTTGATCAGAAACATAAAATCTACGATTTCAATAAGGCATATTTATTATGATATTGACACATAGACACAAGCGACAGCTTACATTGTTAAGACAACGATCTCGGTGATGGAGGTGTGCCTACCGAACTTCCGAAGTGCAGTGTTTGTCAGCAGTTTGTGGCGTGATTGCATTACATTGATATTTTCAAATTTATTGTGAATAAAGTTTAATGAAAAAAAATACAACATTCAGAGGTCTATAAGAAAAATAAGGGTAAACGTTGAGACTATGCAGCTCAGACATGAAATTTATAACACGTAGTTTTCTATTCTCTATGTAAAATCGATCAAGAACTGTATTAATTACTCATTTACATTGTAAATAAAATGATTATTTTTTTACTTGTTTTTTTTTTTTTTTTTTTTTTTTTACATTTTTATGAATGAAAAACATGCCATATTGCTAAGTAGAGTATGTCTTTTTATGTAGATATTACTGCACTATGTGATTAGGTCACGTAATGACCTATGACCTTCGAAAAACTTCATACAGGTATGAAGATATTTGCTCTCTGTATGTTTATATAATAGAGAGATACCACAAATGTATATATTAAGGTTTTAAGGAAATTTTGATAATCTGATAGTTTGTGATAATTTCAAGATTTAACGTTATAGCCTACTGCCGAATTTGGAAACACTTCATCAGTGTTCATGCAGTCAATCAAGTGGATAAAACGTTCTATCGTTAAAATGATATTGACCTGTGGTGAGGGCTTGTCCCGAGAAACAGATTATTCTAAAGTTCTATCAATCAAGTTGCAGGAAAAATCATTTAATGGAAACGCCCTCACTAATCAGCCACTTACCGTACGCAGATAGAGAACAATAGAGAAATGTTATATACAAATATAAAATCATGCTGCCATAGAAATCAAGTTTTTAGGCCAAGGCTCTCAGACTTTAGCGACTCTTCAAAAAGAAACAGCTAAGATTTATTGACTTCCGGTTTCTACTTTCACTTTCGCCATTGTTTTATGTTTATTATATCAACGCGATCTGGCATCGCATGTAAGTCGATATTGAAGCTAACAGCAATACATACATGTGTATCTTATGTTATCTGAAATATTCATGATCAAGATCTAGGAATTTTAACGTGTCTACATTTTTTTTTCCATTTCCGTGCAAGCTCATAAATTTTTAATACTTATTCATAGGTGCAGCAGATAAGCACGTTTGTATAGCCCTGGGGCCCGTTTTACAAAAGAACTTACGACTAAGACCAAAATTTAATTCTGCTAATAACTTTCTAATTTACATTAAATAGTAGGTGGTTTTAATATTTTTAATAGGTTTGTAGAAAGATACCTTTATGCTAGCAGTTGCAAACAGAATCATTAATTTTGCACAATTTTACAATCAACTAAAGTTTTTGGTCTTAGTCGTAAGTTCTTTTGTAAAATGGGCCCCTGGTTTAACAAAGAACACAGGAGCAGCTTGATTTAACCATTTTTTGTCTATCATCGTAATTTGAATTTAACTGAAATATAGTGAGTGGTGGGTTTCTGATTGAAATTTGCTGCTTTATTTTTTTTAAGTGGCATGGTTTCAGGCCATATGTACAAAAAAATGTTCAAGCATCTTTTTACAAGTGTTTTTTTTTTTATGTCTTGAAATACAGTACAAATTGAATATATGCAATTAAATATACTTTTGAAGCCTCTGTCTATTGAAGTTAAGTATATATAACATGATCTAAATGGAACACAAAACAATTTAATCTCTTTGGCTTAACAGTGAAACATGATGCAGAGAACTACAGGTAGCCAATATGAAGCTATGGTATATTAGTTGGTATTTTGGAATTCAAAATAATTGTCCATTTAATATGCATGATTGACCTAGCATTGAATTTTATTGTTAGTTTTAAGTGTCGTGGATTTGGATCAATATTCATTTTTTATTTCACACATAGAAACCAGACTGATATGAATTTTAATATCCTGAGTGGATGGTTTGGCCTGCTTGTGTTGTTAGGGATATCAGAGGCAACATTATCTAAGAGTGACAAGAAAAAGGAAAGACCAAATGAGGTACTGTATTATAACCTAGTGTAACTCAGCTGGTTTTACTCATGTTCATAAAATATTCATGATTCATACATCCATTACAGCTTAATAGCAAAAAATTAGAATTCTATGTGATAGATTTTACACTGATGTAATTCTGACTTGTCATGACCCATGTTCCTGCAATGATTCATTTTACAGGTAAAATTAAGCTCTGTGAATGTCGTAGACAGAGGTTTGGTGACAGAGAAGCTGAAGTCCAAGGACATCATTAAGGAGCATGCCTCGTATTGTGACAGAGATCGAGAGGTCAAGCATTTTCCTGGGATCACCCTGGCCTATGTCACACCCGTAAGTGATATATGAACTAGAGGTTTGTCGAGTAAAGTAAAAAAAGAATTCTAGTGGAGGAGTTTGTGTACTGTATACATGTACCTGTCGATAAAATTCAGTATTTACATGTGATATCTCAAGTGCTGTAAATAACTTTTTATTCTCACAAACTTTATTTTCACATAGTTACACAAGACCTTCTGTTTGCAAAAATTAGATATGAACCTTCTCAATATCTTGAAAACTTTGATATTTTTTTCTTTCAGTGGAACAGTCATGGGTATGATATAGCTAAGATTTTCTCTCAGAAGTTTTCTTTTGTGTCACCAGTCTGGTTACAGATCAAGAGGAGGAAAGGAGGGACCTTCTTCATACAGGGGGACCATGACATTGATCAGGGTAGGCTTTTACATGCATCTTCATACAGGGGAACTAAGACATTGATCAGGGTATGCTTATACATGCTTCTTAACAGGAGACTATGACATTGATCTGGATAGACTTATACATGCTTCTTCATACAGGGAGACTATGACATTGATCAGGGTAGACTTATACAAGCTTCTACATACAGGGGAAAAGCATTAAGCATAAAGGAAAAATCTTATATGAGTGTAGAGAGGGATAATGAATTTCAAAGCTGTTATGTTCTGTATCAGGTTAGCTTTTCTTTGAACCCTATTTCTTTACTTCACAGGTTGGGTTGATGATGTCACAAAAGGCAAACCTGCTCAAATGGGTAAATTCTGAAAATTCAATGTTGAAATTATAACTTCATACAAGTATGTACAAATCACTTCTCCCCTCCTTTAGATATCTAGATATTAACAATTTACCTGTCTTCTGTTCTTAAGTTCCCCTACTTTAGATATCTAGATATTAACAATTTACCTGTCTTCTGTTCTTAAGTTCCCCTACTTTAGATATCTAGATATTAACAATTTACCTGTCTTCTGTTCTTAAGTTCCCCTACTTTAGATATCTAGATATTAACAATTTACCTGTCTTCTGTTCTTAAGTTCCCCTCCTTTAGATATCTAGATATTAACAATTTACCTGTCTTCTGTTCTTAAGTTCCCCTCCTTTAGATATCTAGATATTAACAATTTACCTGTCTTCTGTTCTTAAGTTCCCCTCCTTTAGATATCTAGATATTAACAATTTACCTGTCTTCTGTTCTTAAGTTCCCCTCCTTTAGATATCTAGATATTAACAATTTACCTGTCTTCTGTTCTTAAGTTCCCCTCCTTTAGATATCTAGATATTAACAATTTACCTGTCTTCTGTTCTTAAGTTCCCCACCTTTAGATATCTAGATATTAACAATTTACCTGTCTTCTGTTCTTAAGTTCCCCTCCTTTAGATATCTAGATATTAACAATTTACCTGTCTTCTGTTCTTAAGTTCCCCTACTTTAGATATCTAGATATTAACAATTTACCTGTCTTCTGTTCTTAAGTTCCCCTATTTTAGATATCTAGATATTAACAATTTACCTGTCTTCTGTTCTTAAGTTTCCCTACTTTAGATATCTAGATATTAACAATTTACCTGTCTTCTGTTCTTAAGTTCCCCTACTTTAGATATCTAGATATTAACAATTTACCTGTCTTCTGTTCTTAAGTTCCCAGGGTTCTATTTGACGGTTGGAGCAGAAATGATTATGAAAGTTTGTTCTCAAGTGAAGATGCCATAGAAGACTGTATAAATGTTCTGCTGAAATTCATAAAAGTAAGTGAATACAAGCAACTTGGTTGTTTCACAGCAAGTACAACTTTTCCCTCTGACAGTGTGTATGCACTTTTGCTATCTACCTGTGAGTACAAGTTTGCTCTGTCTCTCTCTCTCTCTCTCACATACACACACACAATGAGTACAAATTTGCTCTCTCTCTCTCTCACAGTGAGTACAAGTTTGCTCTCTCTCTCTCTCTCACAATGAGTACAAGTTTGCTCTCTCTCTCTCTCTCTCTCTCTCTCTCTCTTTCAATGAGTACAAGTTTGCTATCTCACAATAAACACAAGTTTTTTTCTCTGTCAGTGAGTACCTTTGCTTTCTCAAAATGAGTACATTTGCTATCTCACACTGTGTACAGTTTCCTCTCTCACAATAAGTACAAGTTTGCTATCTCAAAAGATGCACAATAGCGGGTTTCTTTAGTGGGTGTAAAATTTGGTGTTTTGCTTGCAAAAAGGTATGCCAATAATTTTGGCGGGAGTTATTTTGGTGGACACATAGTTCCTTGACTTGTTAAGTAGAGGAAGTTCATCTTCTGGATGTGTTTTCAGTACATTTAATATATGCATGAATACAGATTTAGGCAAGATTTTGAGTAAAAACAAACACCAGATGAGAGATATATTTTTTGATAACAGACTGAACAAAGTTATTTTTCTTGTATTCAATACTTATACACAAGGGTGCAATTATGTGATCAAAATTTTAGCGGGCTACTTCAAAACCACTAAAATAAGCCAAAGTTAGCACCTCGCTAAAAATTCCCGCTATACCGTCAATATCCCACAATGAGTACAAGTTTGCCATCTCACAGTGAATACAACTTCAATATCCCATGATGAACACATTTTTGTTTTTATTTTAAAGTATAAGTGTATTAAACCTTAACTGTTTTTCAAGAATCAGGAAGATATACCTTCCATTTTTCAAGTATCTTATTACAAAAATGTACAGTTTGTAAAGTCAAGACAATCATGAAGAATTATGTTTTGCAGAAAAAGAAATTTCCTGGTTTAACCATAGAAATCTGGTCCCAGCTTGGTGGTCAATACAGAAAGTAAGTATTTGTATCTCATCATATCTACTGCCAATTACCTCCCTTGAACACAGTGTTTAGAGAGATCACAGTACATGTATTTTATTTACTTTATAGTTTCTTGAAATCATATGAACATTTTTGTGCATTGGCTAACTTAGTAATGCAATAGTACAAGACTTTATTCCATTGAATATACAATTGAACTTCGGTATCTCGAACACTGATATCTTGAATACCGTGGATATGTCAAAGTGATTTGGAAGTCCCAACTACTTATTCTTCAAGTATTTTACCCCTGACACCTCAGGGTTTTTTTACCAGTCCCACTGAACTCAAGATAAGTAGGTTTGACTGATTTTGTTTTATAAATGATCAGAGAATACATTTAACACATGTTCAAAACATTTATTTTCATGTTCCTGGTGTAAAGTGCATCTGAAAAAAGTTTACATGTAAATAATTTAGAATTCTATAGTGGTACTTCTAACATGAAAAAAATATATATTGTACATTTCAAATGCCTTACTGATTAATTTGTTCCCAATGATGTGTGAGGCAGAGGTGAATAACATCAGTTTCTTTGATCTAATTTGTAATTCAGTTTATAATAAGTCATTTTAATAGTGTCAATATTATATAAATATTGCATCACCCATTAATTGTAGAGAATTGGTCCATTTCCTGAAGCATGTAGGTCAGGCATTTGATGAAGAAGGAAAAACATTGATACTGGTGATTCCACCTCCAATATACCCTGGGTAAGTCTTGGTTTAGTTTGCCAAGTTTGAATGTCAATTACAGTGAAACTTTCTAATCTGGATGTTGTGTATTCCAAAATCTTGCCTAATGCGATGTAAATTTAAGTCCCTTTCAGTAGATTCAATTGTTTTAAATGATTTCTAATACAGAATTTTGTGTAATTCAGCATATTTTTATGCAGCTAGTGGTGTCTGGATTAGATAAGTTTTACTGTAAATATATTATGACCTACATAGAAACCAATTTTAAATAGAATTTTAGCTAGCCTTCTGTAAGAAATTCGAATTTTATACATATATCATGCTCACAATGTAGACAATTGATAACATGTAACAATAAATTGGTCATACCTAGTAGGAACTAAGTTAAAGATATTAGACCAAACTGAATTATACCTCATTAAAACAAATTTGTTAAACCTGTCATCTGATTGGTCTAGACAGTCACACAACAGAGCAAATTAAAAATTGGTCTTCCCAGGGAAATATTGTATCCCGCTCCTTTGGAGGCCTCTGAAAATGTCCTGTCAGAATTATTGTCTTATCGGAGAATACCTTAGTAGCAAAAGTAAATATAACCTTGTCTTGTTAACAGTATAAACAATTGATGTATAAATGTTTGGGAGATATAAAGATTTGTTAACCCTAAGGCTTAAAAAAAATCATGTTGCCTTTGGGGAATGTGATTTTCTGTGAATGAATAAATCATTATCATGCAATAAAGCAGAATCTGATTGGCTGATTAGACCATCATGTCCTCCCTGCTACATATCATCATGTCTCCCCTCATCAGATTCATAAAGAAACTCACAATATTACAACTTCACAATGAGGCTACTGAGATCATTATTTAAAGAGATATGTTGCCCCATGTTGCCCTAGCTTGAAAAGTAAAAAAAAAAAACTGCATATTTATTGTAATGGTAAAGACCTATATGGAACACCAAATTAATATATATTTAAATATTTGAACCTATCTGTGTTCAATTCCTTTGTCGATATGTTTCAATTGTACCTACATGTATCTTCAAATCAGTTGTACCAATCTTTCAATCAATTGTATCGATCTTCAAATGAATTGAAGATAAGTATAATTCAATTGAACCTATGTTTAATTAAATTGAAGTTACATGTAATTCCTTTACAGATAAGTGTAATTTATTTGAACCTACTAGGTTAAATCATTTAAAGATAGATATAATTATTCACACCTATCTTTAATTCATTAATATATTGTACCCATCTTTATTTCAATTTTAACTTTCTTCAATTCATGTGGAGATAGATTTAATTATTTGAATATAGGCATATTTAATTGAAGATTGGTTCAAATATTTGAATACATGTTTATTTGGCATTCCATAGATTCATGCTAATAAAAAGCAGTGAATGATGGAATGATGGAATGACCTAGCAACCCTTTGGTATGGAATACCAATAAGGTATTTGAAGTGAAGCTTTGGGGAATGAAGCCTTTCATTGGTATATGGTGACGTCTCTATATGAATAAAAAAATTCTCAAATGGGACGTAAAACAACAATCAATCAATCTTCAAGCAGTCAGATTAAAGTGATCTAAAGGCTTGGGAAATGGAAGCTGATACAGCTATTGTGATTTCAGGCATCAAGGAGACATACCATGAGTGAATGACATACATATCAAAACTACAGTATTTATTGTACTCAATCCTACTTTATATGGTTATTTACAAAGACATACATATAAACAATAAAATGTCTTTTTTCATTTGTTAGTATGTGGATTAACATTACAGCTATTGCAGAAAAAATTACATAACTTGCATATGCTGGTTATGATTTCCTCTTCTTTTTTTTCACAAAAAGCCGCAAGATTAACCCCATACTAACAACCAAAGAAAGCATTTCATTGTTCAGTATTTTTCAAAAAATGTATCTTATAAAAGTTGAAAAATCTTACAGATTTTCGATGGAAATTATTATGCGTTTTGTTTCACAATTCATTTGTAATACATTTTACAATCTGTATTGAAACACTTTGACATGTCCTTCCCAATATCCCACCCATAGCGTAGACTTGTACAGTGATAATCTGGATAATCTGGATGGACGGTTCACTTCATTTTCTTTTAGTAAGAACTTCAAAAATGCACCATCAGGATCTAGCAGATGGATCTGTTTGTTGTTAATGTCAGGAACAAGAATGTTACAGAGGGAGTCGCACACTGCATTACCTGGCCAAAAGTCCTCTCTCAGGTCCTGTCCACTGTAAACGAACTTCATACGACCAGAGGGAGTCATAAACACTAGATCACCTGTAGTGTCACTTGTGCGGTTAACAACACAGATATCACTTTTACAGTTCTGTGTGACTCTGCGTGGAAATATAAACAGTCTGGTCTGACCGTCCGCTTGGTACTCATACTCATGGATGACATCGCCTGTCACTGTGATGTGTCTCACCAGACGTCTACTGTGTGGCTCTAATTTGTAAGGATGTGATTTCATGTCTATCAAGGTGACCAGTAGTCCACCGTCCACTGACTGACAGATTCCCCGTGGTACCAGTGGGTATGTACTGATGATTGTAGAGACAGATCCTGATTTTGACAGACAGCCGATGGAATTTTTTTTATTGGCGGTAAAATAAACATCACCAGTATCCGTCACACACAGGTCATCAGGTGTGAAAGTATATTTATGTTGTTTCTTACCTTCACTGTTGATTTGTTCAGTGCAATCTGATAAAAAATGTCTTATGCAACATTGGTCTTCACACAATGCCCTCAACAAAACTATTGGTTTATTTCCATATTTAAAGGAACTTGTTTCAATCAAAGTTATATGATTAAAATCCAGAGTCTTTCCAATCATATTCTTCAAAAGCTCATCGCTGATATCTCCTTTTCTATATCTTAATGAATGTTTAGAGTTCTTTAGATCGATGTCCAGCGCTGACAGGAGTTTTTTCAGTTCTCTGTGGTTGTCAAGCAAACTGTAATCTGACATACAACTTTTGTTGTCTTCCATGAACTTAACCAAGTCTGAAATTTCTTTCTTCTTTTTGTACAACTCAGATTTGTTACTTTTCAGTTTTTCATTTTTTTCCTCCAAGTGGTCTCTTAATCTTTGTTCATTATGTTCTTTGATTTCTGACAGCCTAGCCATTATCTCATCAACATGCTTCTGTATTTTTTTAATCTCAGAGTCACACAGTTCTTTATTTTCTGTGATCTGTTGTGGAATCTTCTCTATCTTCCCATCAATCCAAGGCAGATCCTCTTCCTTTATCTTCTTCAGAAATTTCAGCAGACCTCTCCTCGTTTGACTGGCTGCCGTGGGTATAGTGCTCCAGTCATGATCTCTATGATCTGTTTTGGCACTTTTACCACAAATAAATTCATCACAATCTTCACAGATCACATCAATAGGTAAATCATGAGTTTTACACATTTCAATATGCTCTTGAGGGGAGCCCAGTGGATATTTGGGTTTACTCTCTGTCATATTTGTTGAATATTGCCTACCTATGACCTAAATTTGAGATAGACATATAGCTATACATTTTGATGGGCATTGGAGTTGAAAGATATAGAATATGAACAAAGAGATATACAATACCAAATGATCACCAAGAGATAGATTTAAACTCGATGTATTCGTGCGTCATTGACTGGTATACTGGTATATCAAATGTAGGTTATATTGATTGGAAAGATGTTGGACTTCATTTTATCAAATCTAAAAAGCTAATCATTATATCTTATTTTTATTTCAACATTGTGCTTGACTGCAGGTACAACATGTTCACACACAAACAGCCCAAGAAGAAGGCAAATATATAGATTTGACAAAACCTAGTAGGAGTTAAGTTTGAAGTTACAATAGAATCACATTTACACATCATTGGTAGGATTAAGGTTTGTAGGTACAAAAGGATCACTTTCACACACCTCTATTAGGAGTTATGTTTGTAGATACAAAAGGATCACTTTCACACATCTCTAGTGTGAAGAAAGATTGAAGATAAAAGGTCCATACTGATATGCCTCCCCTAGCAGTAGTTCGTATTGTTGTTCACACTGTCACAAACCTAGTAGGATCAGTTTTGCAGGTATGAGTAGGTTATACTAATATATACTTAGTAGCTAGGGGCTAGGATTGTAGGTATAACAGGTTCACACTAATACAACCCTAGTAAGAGTTCGGTGATAGGAAATATCCTACTTATAGGAGGGGAGAGAAAATGCTTGATGATGCAAATGCCTCTTGCTTTTTAAGGAATGTTGAAGGAATGTTTGGTAAATCGGACTTTGATGAGCTTCTTCCTGTTGTGGATGCATTTAGTTTGATGACGTATGATTTCTCCAACCCATCTAGGTAATGTTACAAAAGATTCAGTTAGAAGGGTCATTTCAAAATTTCTGTGACAACTAGATTGTTTATCACATTGTGTGACATAAAGGTTATTTTTAAATTTTAGTGAAATTTAAGTTATTCATCAGATCTGTCATTTTATCAACATAGCTCAAAATGAGTAATTGATGTGAAATAAAATAGTAAACTGCTTGAAATATGTTTAGTTTCGTTTCACATTTAATATGCACATACAGAATCAGATGATTGAAATCTGACTAAAACTTCTGTTGTTTAAAAATTCCTCTAGAAGTTAAATTGATAATTACATATTTGAAAACTTTCTAATTAACAAACAAATTATTTCAATTTTTTTAACAGTGTACATTTTCATTGTATTGCCTTGAATCACAGTTAGGTTATTTTTTCAGACCTGGACCTAACAGTCCATTATCTTGGATGGAGTCCTGTGTCCTGGCCCTAGCCCCTGATGATAACCCGGAGGTCAGACAGAAAATTCTACTGGGGCTAAACTTTTATGGCAATGAGTACTCAGTAGGAGGGGGAGGACCTATTGTAGGCAACCAGTGAGTTTTTGTAGATCGGGTTTGACCATATACCCGGGATAAACATTTACCATATAGTTTGGGTGTATGATGGTTCAGATTTAGCGGGTTGAGGTCTTCAAAGTATTACCATTAAATTTGGCAGAATTTATTTTGGTGAATCATATTTCATTTATTTGGTTTAATTGCGTTAGTGTAGCGAATATCTTATTTGTTTAATAATATTTTTTTATTTATTAAAAAATTGAACCTAAATATGACGGTAACAAGGCTTTTGTCAAATTTTTAATTGCATACTAACCACCAAACCACATGAACAACTAAGGTATCATCTGAGTCACTTTACTGATCATGCCTGCAAACCAAGTACAAAAGTATGCACAAAAGGAATTGAATTAAGGATTTCTATTTTGGTGAATCATAATTTAAAATTGTCAAAATAGGCCAAAATTATATTCCAGCTATAAAAAAACAGCTTTAAGGTATTAAATCATTCAGAAAATACATTCTTGTTTAAAAATAAATACTGAATAACTAACTGCGTGATGTTAAATAATTAGACATGTTTATTTCATAAAGACTCAATATACTAAATGATTATCTAACTTTTCTATGAGAAATATAGCACATATTGTATGTTAATGTGTTTTAAAAATTGTGGAAAAATATCTTTCTTTCAGATACTTAGAAATTTTAAAGAAATATAAGCCTAAGTTTAAATGGGATGAAGATTCACAAGAGCATGCAGCAGAATACAAGTAAGTGGACAAATTCCAGCAATTTCTTGAACAAATTTTATTGTATATAAGGCAATCATTAAAATTGTGGTTGTTTGCCTTCTCCCAATTCAGGGTCAGTAGGTAGGTGGGAAAATTTTTTCAAAGAAAAATTCAGCTTACATATTGACGAGATGAGAAAATTTAGAAATAAAAAAGAAAAATATCGTTTCCTGGAGGTTCAGAAAAACGTTTTGAGTCGGGCAGTTTTTAGCCAGTTGGTCGGGAGAGTGCAAACAAACAAATTTAAATGATGCCCAAAGTTGTTCATTTGCAGTTATCATCTATAGCTGGCAGACTTAACCAATGAATCCCAATCTTTTTTTTTTCTTTCAGAACAGACAGATCAAAAAGTGTCATTTTTTACCCAACGTTACTTTCTCTACAAAAACGAATAGAACTAGCTAAACAACTAGGAACGGGAATCTCTATCTGGGAAATAGGTCAAGGACTGGACTACTTTTACGATTTATTGTGATCTCTTTATAATAAATATTGTTGTGTTTTGTTAATTTCTTTGTTATTCTTAGTGACTGTTAAAAAATGTCAATCAGATTTCGTCCTTTGTGCAGAAGTCGAGGTTGCTCCATAATTATTAGAACCAGAGCTACCTTGATCACCGTATTGCATTAATTTAGTGTCTTTCCCCCATGCTATCTGGATTTAAAGTTTCCTCTAATACTGATACTAATATATACACAAAACAAACCATGTGACTGAATACTAGTTAATGACATTTCAGAGTCTCTTTGAGTTTATATTGCACTAACTTTTTTTACAAAAGCATTTAAGCAAGCATTTGCCTACATCAAGATGCCATGTTTTCATTCCGGTACTGTACTGAAAAAACTGAAAAAAGGCAAAACATGTAGGTACCTGGCATAGCTGAGTAATAAGAGGCAAAACACGTGCCTGGCATAGCTGAACTATAGGAGGCAAAACATGTAGGTGCCTGGCATAGCTGAGTTATAGGGGGCAAAGCTTGTAGGTGCCTGGCATAGCTGAGTTATAGGAGAAGAACAAATAAGAAAATATTTTCATTATCATATATTACATTGTCTTATTTAGATGTTGAGTGCTTCCACGTATGATATGAAATATTGGACCATATGAATATGAAATATCTGAAGCGTCAAAATTTTAATATCTACCTAATATACATGTATATGTATGCATATTAAATACTGTCAAAGTCTGTAATCTAAAACTCAATGGACTCAAGAAAAACCAAGAGATATTGAAGTACATAAAGGCTTAAAGGATAACAGGTCGTTGGGACTTCAAAATTTACCCCAAATTATCAAAGGTAGTCAAGATTTCAATGTTTGAGATTCGAGGTTTTAACTACATTCATTGTGATTAAACACAGAAACTGTTATTTATTTATACATGTATTTAAAAAACATCAGATAAACATCTGGAATAGATCTACACTACACCCAGATCAGTGATAAAATTGTATATATAAGTAACTGCAGAATAAATATTGTGGCAACCTTCCTGAGTTGGTAAAATAACAACTTTTCTCAGCTCTAGAAATATTATGGCTTAAAACTAAATCGAATGATTTTTTTCTCATTTTAAGTGTAGTAAAAAAATAGCCCATGTAAAATATTTATGGTAATATGTAGAACAACAGAAACTGTAGCAAACTGTAGTAATACAGGTGTTGTTGCTTTCATGACGACCTTGACATTTACTGGCTTGGAATAAACAATGACTTTCCGTTATTTAAATGTAAAAATGAATGAAAAGTAGTTTTCATTCTAAAAAAAAAATCAAAGCTTGCATGGTGAAATTTAGAATTTGTAATGAATACATTCTAAAGCACCATCAAAGATTACATCGAGAAATATCAATTTTTAGAAAATGTAAATATTGATACATTGGAAAAAATCAGGAAATCCCCACTGATCATCAAACAATATTTATTTGAGACAGCAATCTAATTCTAATGAGAAAGCACATTGAAAGTCCAAAACGTGAGACAGGTTTCAAAATCTTATCAAAAATCTAAAGATTACTACTGATTAGATTAGATGCATGGCCAATTGCATTTTTTTAAAAGTCAAATAACCAGTAATCTGCCCCTCTCGTTCTATGCTCTCTTCCTCCTCTGATAGGTGCTGTTGTGACAGTGGGAGAGGAAAGTGTCGGAATTCTATTTTTCCTATAGTGAAATCCTCAACTACATGTCCTTGCCATGGAGGAGTCATTTAGTGGTAAGAAGTCCCTCCACACCAACAGGGCCAGGTGCATGATTCTGCTGGTACTAATACCAACCTCAGCTCCTATGAAAGAAAAGATTGATTGATTGTATGTTGTTTCACGTCCCATTCGAGAATTTTTCACTCATATAAAGACGTCACCATATACCGGTGAAGGGCTTAAAATAAGACCTTTTCAGGGCCATTGAGCAATGAGGGCTCTTTATCGTGCCAACGCCTACCGTGACAATGGACTTCGGTTTTTAAGGCCTCATCCGAAGGACCCACAACTTTCACTTCAAAGTGCCTAGCGCTTGGCGAAGGTACAGTTGCTTTGTATCTTTTATCGACTTAGGTTAGTCGCGGCCATAATTCAAACAACAGGAAAAGAAAATATAGAAATAAATACATATCATTAATCACCACCTATTTCTGTCGTTTTCTGTGGACAAATTTAAAATTGGCTAAATTCAACAGAGTTATTCCTCATTTAAAACAATTTTTAAATCGTAAATAACCCTGAATGTGCGATGATTATAATTTGTTTACATATACATCTTGTAGTGAAACTTCTAATATTTTCATCTTTTACAAAACTTGGCAAATTTCTCCTTTCATACATTTCATCTTAGTTTATATTGTCCACGATTTACAATTTTCGGGTAAGTATGAACATCAAACATAAATCGTTCAATTTCTTGTACATGTAGGTGTTATGAAGTACATGTGTGTATGTTACAAAACCAGGCGCAAAACATCCATCTTAATACCTATATTGCATCTTGACAATAATAGCCACTAGAATATAATACTGTAAACATACTTTTTTCCATGAGGTAATAATTTTGCGGAATCACAATATCTATTCAATATGTGGGTATAAAAGTACACGGATTTCGTAGATTACCAAAAAGTAATTCTACAGAAGTACTGCAAAAACATTACTTACCTAGGCCAAATCTGTAGCTGTCAGCGAACCTAGTGCTGGTGTTGTGAAACACACAGACACTGTCTACTCCCTTGAGAAAAACGGTGTTATCTACAATAGAAAATAAAGGGATTCTTTTGAAAACATTTTTTTCTCTTGTACAGCACTTGAGATACAATACTCGAAGTAACTTTTGTTCATCAAACGAACAACAAACAAGAAGTAAAACGTCTAACCACTGGTAATTAAGCACTATCATTTGTCACTACAGATATCACTAGTAGGAGGTTATGTTTTTTTTTAGACCACTCACTATCATTGGTCACTATATGTACATCACTAGTAGGAGGTATGATTTCAGTAGACCACGCACTATCGTTGGTCACTATGGACATCACAAGTAGGGGGTTCTGATTTCATTAGATCACTCACTATTATTGGTCATTACAGATATCACTAGTACATGTAGTAGGAGGTTATGTTTTTATTAGACCACTCACTATCATTGGTCACTATATGGACTTCACTAGTAGGAGGTTATGATTTCATTAGATCACTCACTATCACTGGTCACTATACTTTAAACATATTTTATTGAACAAATCAATAAGGATTGGGCAACAGGCAAAGACTATGCACACCCTCTCCTTGCATAACAGGTCAAGACAAAGACAATAAATAATAATACTTGTACAGGCATGCTAATAATAAAAATAAAGATTCACTATCAAGTATTATTCATCAGTGTTATAAAAAAAAAGATCACTAACTATCATTGGTCACAAGAAACATCACTAGTAGGAGGTTTTGATTTCATTAGATCACTTTCATTGATCACTATTGACAGCACTAGTAAAGGGCTGTGATTTCTTTAGATTACTTACTATCATTGTACCCTTTATGAACATCACTAGTAGGGGGTTATGATTATATTAGATCACTCACTATCATTGATTTCTACAAATAGCACTAGAAGGGGTAATTATTTGATTAGATCACTCACTGACATTGATCACTATGTGGACATCATTAGTAGAGGGTTATAACTTCATTAGATCACTCACTATCATTGGGCACTATATGAACATCGCTAGTTGTGGGTTATGATTTCATTTGATTCATTTGGTCACTCACTACCAACAGTACTAGTGGGGGGATATGTTTTCATTAGACCAGTAACTATCATTGGTTTCTGAACTGTCATTGGTTCGTGTTATGCAGTGTTCAGATTGTTTGCTATAAAGTTGCGCATAGTACGTAGTTGATCTTTACGTCGCAGATTTGAATCCATTGTTTGATGTATTTTATACTGGCATTTAGAAGTCATTCAGTTCTTCAACTATGTTTGAAATATATCAAACATTGACCATTTTTGAAATTTTTAAATATTGAGTACAGTGAATCACTTTGAATAATCATTGATTGTTTTATTCAAAGCTGCCACGTTCAGGACAGCTTTTAATTAAATTCTTGTCTTTTTAATTTTCTCAAAATGGATTGATGATGTCACAAAAAGACAAACTTGCTTAAATTCGTAATTCTGAAGATTCGATGTTGAAATTATTACTTGACACATGCGTTGACATCTTCTCCCGCCTGTCCTCTTCACGTGCCTTTTGTTTTTCAGTTCCCAGGGTTTTACTTTATGGTTGGAACAGAAGTGATTATGAAATTTTTTTCTCAAGGGAAAAGTGCCATAGAAGACTGTATCAATGTCCTACTGAAATTCATAAAAGTAAGTCAACTCAATATATAGTCAACTAGCTTTTATCACAGCAAGTAAAACTTTTCCATGTCACAGTGAGTACAAATTGCTATTACACAGTGAGTAAAACTTTACTTTCTCACAGTGAGTACAACTTTTGTTCTCTCACAGTAAGTACAATTTTATTCTCTCATAATGAGTACAGCTTTGTTCTCTCACAGTGAGTACAAATTGTTAGTGAAACGGAAATGGTTTTTATTGTTTAGTTTCGGATAAAACGTTGGACATACGTTTTTATTTCAGAACTCTAAAAATTACTATTTTTACGATCATTTAAGTAGTTTGAAACTGCCAAAGTACATAGACTGCACTAGGATAATACATGCTGTATTAGAGTGCTTTTGATACCTCTCTGGTGATGGAATTAATAACCCTTGACTCGTTTATGCTCCTACATACTGTTTTAAGACCTGAATAAGGCAGACAGTGTTGGGGGATAAACAGTTATGTGTTTAGTGATAACCAAACGCATAAGACCTGAATAAGGCAGTCACTTGTTTTGGGAGAGAGGTGGCATACCACAAATGTGGGGAAAGTGCCAAGATATTCAGTGTCTTTGGAGTGGCAGGACCTAAGAAGTTCGATTGCGGGAGATACCCGTTGACCACAGTT